GGATGTAGGACTCGGGAGCTATAATAGGTTTGGTAACCAGGCTACAATGTAACGGCTAGTTCCTCGAGATAAAACAGCCTTAAGGCAGCCTGTGGACAATGGCAACGAACCAGGCTATACTTCCACCACATCAAGACAATAAACAGAGAGCTGACTTGATTGAAGGACACTACTGCTAGCTGGAACCTAGCCTGGGAGCCAGACTGTTGCCAGGGCCAGCGTAACAGCTAGTTCCTCGAGATAAAACAGCGTTAAGGCAGCCTGTGGACAATGGCAACGAATCAGGCTATCCTTCCACCACATCAAGAGAATAAACAGAGAGCTGACTTGATTGAAGGACACTACTGTGGGAACCTAGCCTGGCTCCCAGACCACAGCAGGTTACTTGGACTGAAGCAAGCCACAAACCTCATCTCAACTTTTTTGAATTATCATAATATCAAGGGGGTGTTTTACAGGGTTGGTTTTAATTACAACTGTAGTTTAAAAGACCTAGTACATGTCAGGAGAGGCCTATGCTCTTTAAAGAGTTGTATTTTATTGTATTTTAACTCCAGGAAGATTAGCTACATACTTGATTTTGTATGTCTTGTGTGTCGCTAATGGAGTTTAATAAAGCACATAAAGCACACATAAAGAGGGCCTGCAAGGAGAAGAAAGAGAGGAGGAAGCAATGCTCCATCCCTGTCCAGTCCTTCCCTTGCAGCATCTGTGGCCGCTCATGTGCGTCAAAAATTGGTCTTCACTCCCATATGAGGACCCACATCGGCAAATGAGGACCTGTATATACGCCTAATCATCTGTCGCAAGCGACAGGAGATTCCAAGCAAGGGGGGGTCCCTACAACGCTCTACGCTGAATTCAGAAACCTCTCGATTACGCTTTACGATAAATTCCAAGTGGCTACAACGCATTACGTAGAATTAAAATGGCGAATACGCTCTATGCTAAATTTTAGTGCGGGCCCCCTTTAAAAGTCTAAGGGATGGGGATTGGTAAAACACCATTGCGCTTTCCTGTGGAGGATTGTAACCAGGCTATAGTTCCACCATTCAAGAGAATAAGCAGAGCTGACTTAAGTGAACAAGTAGCTCTTAATATATCAAATTTTATCTGACTAAGAGTAAAAAGCATCCATCAGTCAGACATCTGTACACTACAAATATATTATGCCACACATGACTGTAAAACTAAACATTGATAAATCTGATAAATAAGTTATTTAAGTCATTATTTATCTTTTGATAATGATATGCAAACTGCTGATAGCATTGCAAGTAGGGCGATTTACTTGTAGTATTCAAACTACCTTTTAGAAGTTTTATTTTACAAGTACAAAGTGGCTGCTATCTCCCTGCCTTGCCTTTAGAACAGTCCATTCAACATCTTGTTTATGTTACTGGATGTTTGACCTCCATTTTGGACTGGAGGGTATCAAAGGGGAATGTTCAACTATAGGGAATTGCGAAAAGAAATGTGGACAAAAAATATCAACAACACAAAAACATACATCCACCAAGCCTTTGTAAAGCTGTAAACTTTCATTAAGTCGAAGACATGTGGGTAGTTAAGGCTAAACCTTGCTTCAAAAACTCCTTTTAATCCACACCCTTTAGGCTATATGGACAAGGGAGACCTTGAGAAATGTAAAACAGCCTTTTCTTCAAACTTCTAACAAATACATAGTGCAAAATGGCCTCTGTCTGATTTCCAAATTTTACACATGCTGAGTGAATAAACATATGCGTACCTCTCCTGCCAACTCTGTCTATTGAATACAGACATACAGTACCAATAGCCAGACTGGGCAGTGCATAGTGAATGCAGTCATTACTACATTACCATGTAAATCATAATCCACCCTACAACATACATAAATTCCACAGCAAAGTATATATCTAGTATCCATCCAAAGGCTGTGAACTGGTGCGCTTTAACTGAAGGAGCCATAGAAAACCTGCTGCATGGATTGGGGGCAGGTTTTGTTGTAAGTTGAAACCTGATATGGCCTCTCCACCTTACATTTCATTCACAAAAGTCTGGGCCTCCATTCATGGGGACTGAGTAAACAGTGGTTTGTTCTAGAGGCTGCCCTGAAGGCCTGGATTCTTCCATCCTCCCCTAGCACCCCTCTCCAAGCGGAGGTTTAGGCTTTTGCTAATTTTTGACGTACTGTTTAAGTGTTTTACCTTTAGGCGTTTTAATATTAGGCTTTTCTTTTTGTACTGGTATCTTTTTTCATGCTAGCCCAAATTCTGGTGGCAAATGGTACATGCAACTGCCTGGCAAAGGGCTACTGGTTGGCCAATTTGATACTGTCTTTGCAGCCACCAAAATTATTCTGCTTGGAGATCATCCCACAAATTGTTCCTTACTAGGCTGCGAACATTAGACCCAACATGCAGCTAGTAACTTCGCCACGTCCACTTCGCTAGGAAAGGCAATGGTTGCGGCTATGTTCACCATCTGGCGACAAACCAAATGTCAATATTTAAGGAGAACAAATACATTTTGTCCCCACCAAGTAACGCAAGATTCTGGCTGGGCAAATTTGCTGCAGGGGCTGCAGCAAGTCTCCGTTTGGCTAGCTTAACGAAATGTGACGTTTTCAGTTTGGCAAAAGCAAGTATGAGGGAAATAACAAACAGTTTCACTTGCAAAAACCTGTCTATATCTAATGCAAGAGATGTTGAACAATTGCAGAGAATTCATGGTACTTTTCTGTATGTTTTACCAGTAGAAAATGTTCACCATATGCTAACTACATACATATAGTAGTAGCACTTTTTATCAATGAAGAGGAAAAAAGTTGTAAGCTCAATTTTAACCCTGGTTTTATAAAAAAAAGGGCCACTCCTTTTGCTAAATAATTTATGTCTACTCTTCATGAAAATTACCATATGCCACTACAAAAATGGCCCCCTATGGAATTGACCGATATTTCCTACTTATCAAAATATCATTTCTGTGTTTTGTCTGAAACATGGAGAAAACTGTTGGAACAAAAAGTCTTCAGGATGGTGATCATCCATTCCTGTTTAACAAGGAAGACCACAATTTCTCTCAATTTCTAAGCAAACCATAGTAAGGACAACTGACTGAAAACTTTATACTGTTTTCCATTGCAGTTGAATTATATATTGGGAAATTATACATAATTGAAACACCCCTAAAAGGCTCCAACTATATGCTCCTACCATGATAATAATAATACATAAATGTAATGTAAAACACATCATAGAAACAGCCATAAAACATCTGCAGCTTCTTGAACATGTCAGACGGTGCAAACATAACTAGCACTAATTCTACAGGAGCTACTTATACATGATCTCAAGGAGGTAAACATTAGCCCGCGTTTTGTTCCTCCACTTAAAACATATAAATCTAATCCTGTAGGAAGGCAATAATTTGAATAGTCACCCGTCGGTAGTTGGAAACGGAAAGACATGACTGTTAGGGCCAGCTGCAGCGGTCCCACCGTGGTTTATGGTGTAATAACCGACCCATCTCTAACCCTGCTCCTCCCGTCTTATCTTGTATCTACACCACCACACGCCACCAATCCCACACCTGCTGTGCTATCAATATGTCAATAATTCCTCCTCTATCCTTCCAAAATCCACCTTACATACATCTTTTTTCACCACTGTGGGACAGTGTTCTAGCCAGTGTACATCTTTCCCTCATTTGATGGAATTTTGCTGTTCATGACGGACACAAATTTTGCCCAATCCGTCATCTTTGGCGGACAAGAAACAGAGTGTAAATATGTGGTAAGGGATGGTAATAAACTAACGAAATTTTGTCACTCATGATGGAGAAAAAGTTTGCCCAATCTGTCATCTTTGACAGAATGTAAAGATATGGAAAGGATTAGTCTATCCGCAAACTTTCCCCCTCAAAATGCAGGAAATAGCATTTCAAGATTTCAAAATTTGGGAGCATGTCCCCAGATCCCAGGTCTTGCTTTCATAGCTTGACATAACGTCCTGCAAAACTGAGCTCATGGAAAAATTTCAAGACAGGCTAGAACACTGGCAAACTGTGGAACATAACTTGATAAACTGTGGAACATGACTTACTGTTTTCAGCTTGGAAATCAGGCACAAACTGTTCTTCATCTTCTACGCAGCTTGCTGTAAAATAGGGTGAAACAGTGGTCTTAAGAGGGGAGAAATATCATTCTCTTACATGGCATCTGCAAGTATTATCCTTTTTTCCTACTAAGCTACACAATTCATCACACTACTATACATTCATGTACATGTTATGAGAAAAAGTTTGATATCAAAACCTTCATATAAACAGCAAATAACAGGTTGGCCTTACCTTCCGCTAGCCATGCCTCCTGAAACTGGCTTAAGTCTTGAAACAGGTCTGTAGATAGAAAAAAGAACAAGTCAGCATCCAATCATTCTGATAACTTCCTTGACGTTTCATGCCGTCAGAAAATCTGATCTCCAACATCCAACAATGAGCCCTGCCACGTACGAATTGACTTTGAACCAGCAGCCTAAATAACTAAGTTAATCTGACATTTTGCAAGACAAAGCCTTTTAGTACAGTGGTTACAAATATGGCACATTTCTTCTGTTCAGAAAATACACTGAACTTTACTTTGGAGAGCTTCTGTCTCAGACAGTCTAAAAAGGCCTTAGTGTAGATGCATGCTTTGCTCTAAAGTAAGGAAGGCAAGCCAGTTCTAATCTTTTCGTGCAGAATGCATTTTCCTAACTTACTTGTATTCTTGAGCTCAAGTCAGCACTTTTCTTTCAAAGATTTGTATGTTTAAACCATTTTTTCTTGAACTTCATCATGAAAGACATAATCACCTTGATAGAAAGTTGAACAACTAGAAAACTGACTTCAACAAAGATTTTTCTGGAATGTCTTACTCATAGATGATGATCAAAGGTTCTTAAAATGCTAGAAATGTGATTTCATCCCCATTTCTTGATTCACTTTTTTATCTTGAAAGAAGCTATCGGGAAGGAAAGATCTCTCACCTTCAGAATCTTGGAGCTCCTTGCGTTTTTGTCCATCGTCTCTCGGAGGTGTGTCATCCTCCCGATCTGCACCGGGAACACTCTGTAACATGGAAGAAAAAAAATCTGTTAAGACGGGAATCTTTTTAAAAAGTTTTCTTAAGAAACTAATGATATTACGATTGAAAAAAAAAAGACTTGTCAGTTACTTCAGTTGGTAGTTGATTTGCAACTGTGGTGTGCAGTGCACGAACAATTTTTTCTTCAAATGACTGTTGGAATTAAAAGACTAGTACTACAGACCGCATGTAAAGGATTGCTGGGCTAATAGAGAGGCAGCAACAACTGCACATATTGAAACTTTAAATCTCCTTTTAATACTTCTCCAAATTCAATGGCGGCTACTATCTCCAGGTCTTTTTCAACGGATGCTGTTTTCAGGGCCTACAAAAATCATCCAGCTCCTCGGCTACAGGGCCAGCATGCTCCCAAGGAAATTTTGCAACATGGTCTAAATCATCGAGACTGCAGCAAAATTTCCTTGGAGGCATGTTGGCACTGAAGTCGAGATGACCTGTGTGGACCCTAGAAAACCGTCTGGCATCCAGGCTAGCCAGAAAATGGGTAAAAATTGTGTCACATTTGTAGATCTTTTAGCCTTTGCTAATTCTGGGTTTCTACAAAAAAATATTGCAAGGGCTTCTTACCTGTGGATACATGTAAGGCACTTCCTGGTCGTAGAATTCTTTCCGCTGGTTGTATGCCATTGGCACTGCGTGTGTGTTGGGCCGCCCCGCTCACCCTACGAAAACATGGAGGCCGAAAATTATGAATGAACGCCTCTCTGCTACGTACAACAGCCAGCGTAACTGTGCACCGAGGGTGCGGGGTTCGAATCCATCTCCACGCGAAAACGTCGCTTTTACTGGATTCTGTTCCCAGCGATGCAAAATTAGGTTTATGTGTAATCGCACACATGATACTAACAGCTGGAATCGCAAGGAAAGGAAAGTACGAGCGAAGCACAAGATGGCAACACGCAACTCACGATCATGGAGGACGGCCCCAGAACTGCGCTCTAGAAGCGCCATACTGATACATTTATATATGGTAGGCATTTTCAAACCGCTCACCTTCAAACGCAAAACTCGTCGCAATCGGGGCAAAATCGGCGGCGGTGACCTACTAGATACGTGGCTGGAAACACCTTGTTCTTGTCTCTTGCTTCCTAGCGCGATTGCAAGCCAAAATACATTCGTTTCGGGCAAAAAAATACTTCATTTACGGCATAGATTCCCCGCTATGAGAAATGTCCACTATGCCTCTGCAACCCACCAGGACGGCGAAGCCGTCGCGCTGGTTGGTCAAGTGATTAGCGATGCTGGCCCGCGATTGGCCAGAGTAATCTATACTGTCAATGACTTCATTAATAATTATCTGGCTGAAACCCCAGGCGGGATCGCCATGGCAACGCATTGACGTCATAGCCCGGGTTGTATGTCAGGTAGGCGGAGCTATCCATTGACAGCCAGCAGAAAGCAAATACCTTCCGACTGTGAGCCAATCAGCGTTAGGGACCTTTGCCCCTTTGAAAGGTTTATCGACGCTTGATTGACGCCCTTTCATATGCAAATGAGGCTAATTCAGAGCCCCGTTTCATTCACAAATTTTCCACTTACCTGGCGCCCTGTAATTCACCTGATAGTGGAAGAGCGAGTTGAAATACAACACCATCAATGAACGTGTGTGTAACAATAAACAAGTGGCATAGCTTTACCTGGGCACTGTAGCCTCCACCAGGCATCGACTGGAAAGAGAAGAAATTGGCTAAATACACAAATGAGACAGATAACGCTATGGCCTGGGGAGTTAATAGTCTACCAAAGGAGTACAGTTTGCCACTCTAACTCTCCTGGCATGTTATCTGTCCAATTTCTACTCTTTCCCAGCGTGTATTAGCAACCTATGAAGCCTGCTAGAGGCTAGAGTATCGGATCTTTATGAATCCCACCTTTAAAACCCAAGGAGTCAGTCGAGGTACCTGCCTGGTCACGTTATATCGGAACGTGCCATCTGATGAGTAGCCCTCAGGCAGACGCTCTTTCATGCCAAAAAAGGAGCTCGGTGTAAGTTACGCAACACTCTTGAGGAATGAGGTTACGACTTTTTGCCTGGCAAATCGCCGAATCATCATCATCCACTGTATCATCGTCTCTCATATGATATCTTCAATATAAATAGCGCCCCGTATAATGTATTTCATCAATTTACTAGCGTTTAACTTTAAACAAGAACTATATAATGACATTGGCTTACGTCTAAGAGACATATATTTCCAGACCTTGCAATTAGAAATCCACAATTCTTGTTTGAAGCGTCTTGTGGATGCACAAAATATAAAACGCTATCAGTTCAATGTTCTTATGACGACAGAGAATCTACACATATGATTCAATTGATTGTAGAAACAGGCCGGTCCACAATAATCAGTTGCTGCAAATCACAAATCGAACAAGAAGACATTTAAATATTTTGTAATTCATGTGAAGTAGAAAACTGTATATATATAGTTAGGCCAAGGACATTATACTGTCCTTGGTTAGGCTATATAGAAATTACTTTTAGTATGTCCTTGGTTAGGAGTTGGAAAATTTATGACATTGATATTGTCACTTTTTTAATAGCTCCTACCTTAAAGATACCTAGAAGAATTGTAGGTGAATATAGGCGCCGCTGTCATCCTGGTTAACGCAAACCGACAGACACTCAAAACAACACTTACCGTGAAACTCTTTAATGGCGGTACCAAACTAAACCCCCCATCTGCTTGGAGCTCAACGACCTTTGACCTCTAAATCATGACGACAGCACGAGGTTTCGTAACAGTCGACATTTCGATCCAGTTTTGACCTCAAGAAATAACGCAAAATGTCGTTGACGCTGTAAGCGAAAGGTGGGTGATATGTAACACTTTAATATATCTGTTGCTAGGATCACAGACAATATCGGTGTATACATGTAGGGTAGGGGAGAGAAATAGTAGACCAGTTTGGATTTGCAGATGGGGAGGGGGGCGGTCATGTAACGCATGAAAGCTGCATCATGTAAAAATAGGACGATACAAAAAGGTCAATTTTCTGATGTATACAAAGTAAGTTGAATCAATCTTATTCAATAAGTAAGCAGCAATAAGTAATATGTGTAATATTTAAGAAGTGGAGGTGCCAACATTATGAAAGACAGCTGTCAGTCATGATTGTTTACATTTTCTAGTTGTTTGTGCTGGCACTAAAACTTAAAAATTGCTGAATTTTTGGACCATTAAAAGACCAGTCACTTCAAATAAAACAATCCTTTCAAGTAGATTATGTTCTTTAATGTTACATCATTTCTGATAATGTTCAGTACTAACTTTGTCTCTTCCTCATTCCAGGAGAAATTTTTGACTGCTGCCTCAGGATCACAACTTACTCCTGGAGAAAAAACTGTCTCAAGATGATAGGATGTCACAGGAGAATCGCTCAAGTGTTATGCGTCAAAATGCAGGCTCTTAGAAAGTTCACTTGGACTGGACAAAATATGATGCCCATTCACGTTCTAAGACAAACAGCACAACAAAGGGCCAATGTCAGGACAGTTTATGGTCCCTACAGTTCCCTGAGTGTATCATCCAATACTGGACAGCTGCTTAGAGTTAGCAGTAAGCCTTACCTTCAGTGTAGGCAGTTGAAGACTGGGAGAACTGGCCATGACGATTGGAGACAAAAGAACAAAAGTTTGATGATGTACATTGGAGGGATTGGAGTGCTGGTAGCCGGACTGGCTTATGCCTGTGTGCCTCTGTATAGGATGTTCTGTCAGGTCTGTATGCTATTGTATGGCTCTGTAGCATGTTCTGTTACTAGTACCACATGTAGTAGTACTAGTACTTTATGACTAGTACAAATGTATAGGATAGTCTTTGGACCCTGATTCAAATACATTGTACTTTCAATAAATTAGATGCATATACATTTTTAAGGATTTTACTTCTTTATCATTCAAGAGAGTTCACACTTTAACAAATTACAAAATGTACCTCAAAATCTGTAACCTCAAAACCTATAACTGAACATAAACCGGTGCTACATTAACTGGCATAAACCTACAACCATCCTGAGATAAAATTGACAATTACTTTGTTCACAACTGTATGATTGAAGTTCTGAATATGTTTTGTAGGCCACTGGTTTGGGAGGAACAGTTAAGCATGGTTCGGAGACAGTGGCCCAAATGAAGCCTGTGGAAGACCGGGAGCTGGAAATCCGCTTCAGTGCCGACACGGCAGCCAGTATGCGATGGAACTTCCGACCCAGACAGACTTCTATCAAGGTAAAACTAGTACACATGTATCCTCACCTGTATTTCTCACCTGTAGCCGGTCAATAGGTACCCTGTGTGGGTAATGAGACCGCACTTCGGGTAGTTTCGGCGGTAGCAATTCTTCTCATGTGTTCAGTACGTAAAGGTGTAGTTGTACATATCCTGGTGATTCTTCCACTCGTGTGCAATATGGTTCTTGAACTCATTTACTGATTTGCTAGACACTGCTTCCTGGGAAAGAGAGTTCCACACTCTTGTGAATCAGTTCTGACATAAGTCTCTATGTGTTTGGGAGTTCGAATCCCAGCTGTTGTTGCTCACCCAACATGCACACTTCTGTAAAGGGTCGCAGTCCTTAGGACGGGACGTTAAGCTGTGGTCCACTGTTCATCGTGCTTGTCAAAAAGAGCAAGGAGAATTTCTCTGGTAAAAATGAACCTGCAAATACTGTACATAGCATTTGTCTTCGCTGTCATGACTAAAACTGGATCAAGATTATTTTTTTTTTAACCTTTAATTTGTTCCCTCCCCCTGCAGCTAGTTCCAGGAGAGACGGCCCTGGCCTTCTACACCGCGCGCAACCCGACAGATCAGCCTATCATAGGGATCTCCACATACAACGTGGTGCCGTTCGAAGCTGGACAATATTTCAACAAGATTCAGGTGAAAATGTTCTTCAGAATTCACATTTGAATAGCCTGGGTGCCATCCATTTTGTTATGAGGCTTGTTGCACTTGCTGAAAAAACAACAACTTTGGGTCAGGATGAACTGTGCAGCAACTATGCAGTGAAGGCATATCTGTCAGGAAGACTAGGTCTTGATCATTTCTAAACATTTTTTTCCCTTCATCTTTGCAGTGTTTCTGTTTTGAAGAACAGAGGCTAGAGCCACATGAGGAGGTAAGTAGACCCTGGCATGTTATCTGTCAATTTTTGGCCAATTTCTACTCTTTTCAGCCACCTCTGACATCTAGTGTAGAGGCTAGTATTCTGTACCTACTCCACAATGTATCTCAGATGTCTTTATTTCATTGAGTACCAGCTTTTAATGTGCCATAAAGGATACAGGAGTTTTCTTTTACACAATGAAGGCTTCATACCTAGTGCTTACGTTTCAATGTCTATCAGACACCTTCTTCAGAGCTTCTGACTGGAGCAGAGGAAGTTGTCTGATAGACACCAAAATGTAAGCATTAGGTAAGAAGCCTTGGTTGTGTAAAAGAAAACTCAACCTGTATCCTATACTTTACCGACCAGATGAAACTATTTTCGGAAATGTGCCATATTATGGTTCATGTTTTCCACACTGACCCTTCTGTGTTCCCATGTGTACAGGTGGACATGCCAGTGTTCTTTTTCATTGACCCTGAGTTCGCAGAGGACCCTGCCATGTACAAAGTGGACTCCATCACTCTGTCCTACACATTTTTTGAGGCGAAGGAGGGACTTAGACTACCACTGCCTGGTTATAGCTGATAGAGCAATCCTGAATGTTCATTGCAATCAACAGTTCAGTTACTTTTATTGAATGAAAGCTCATCTGTATTGGTAGAATAGTCATGGCAATGATAAGTTTACGGTACAGAAGTAGCGGTGAAAAACGCAAATATTAAAGCACTGCAAAAAAAATTGTGATTTACAGTATTTGCATTTTTACGTTTTATTTTGCACTTCTCTAGGAACTTTATTATGATGTGTACATGTAAGAACTTGATGATGCAGCATCTTCATATAATCTTATACCTTCACGTCAAAGGAATGTTAGTCAAGTCAGGACTGTTTACCCACTACATTGTGTGTATAAAATCAACTTCTTTTATGATCTTCACAGCAAAATAAAGATCATTGTACAAGTTTTGATTTTGTAGCCATTAGAAGTTGTGTAACTACAGATTCTACCGAGGACATTTTGTGTCATGTTCTTGATTCTACTTAGGTTTGAAAGTGTGACTTGTAAAGGACTTTGATTACAAACTTTGACAATGTTGCAAGACACAAAAATAAAATTTCATTCATTCATTCATTCATTCATTCATTGTAGCCATGAGGAAGGTACTGGTATCTGTGATTGTGAGTTGGTTGGTAAGGTTGCGTACTAGTCTTACTGACTAATAAACATTTTGTAGAATCAATGCCGGGAACATCATGATAGTGCAGCTGTATATGGGATCAATTCAAAGGACTAGAACTACACAGATTCCAGGCTGTTCTCAACCCAGTGCCAACCTTGGTTGCGGAGTGGTCCGGAAAAAAGTTGTGAGAAGGCACTAAGTGTGTGACTAGCTTAGGGGGGCTGGCACTTCTGTCTAGTCACTCCGTCTGAGCAGCTACATCCATAGTCCCCAGCATTGTTCACACAGGTTCCATGTGGGCAAGGGTTGTTCATGACCCAGCACTCGTTGATGTCTGTATGAAATAAAGAAATATACAGTTGCTGCTGCCGTTATAACTGAACTGATTGAAAACATGCTAACAACACAACTAGTTTCTGTCATAGTGTACACACAAACTCACCTTGCTGACAGTTCTGTCCAGTCCATCCAGGTGAGCAGGTACATTTGTATCCACCATCGTTGTTCTCACAGGTTCCATGTCGGCAGGGTTTGCTGGTGCATTCATCTAGGTCTGTGGGATAAAGGAAGAAATTCCATTATGAAACTTCCTCATAGTAACTATGAAACAGCCATTCCTACTCAGAATTTGATACAATTGTCAAAAATAACTCAACTTGCCGACAGTTCTGTCCAGTCCATCCAGGTGAGCAGGTACATTTGTATCCACCATCTTTGTTCTCACAGGTTCCATGGTGGCAAGGATCCTTGATGCACTTGTCTGCAAAGCCGAAGCCTTAGCAAAAATGAACAGTTCAAATTATTGTCCATTATTATTAATTAACAAGCTTATTGCTTACTATTATTATTATTATTAAGCTTTCTGTTGCAAGCATAATGGGGAAAATACAATAACAAGACGTGTAGTGTTTTTACTTGATTACCAAGAAAATGACCCAGGCCTTACCTGTTGTAGGTTGAAGTGTGGGGGTTACTGGTAAGGTCTGGGTGTCATTTGCAGTGACGTCTGCTTGTTTGTCAGTCGAGTTCCATCCCGACGGGGGTAGAGACAGCAGCGTGGTCAAATTTATCCCAACTGACTTGTTCCTCTCATAGAATCCTGCCTGCCAGGTAGTGACTAACGGAGGTGTGGTTGGAGTCAGATAAGTGACATTCGAGCTGTTTTCCTTGTAGGATGTCGTCCACCATGGAATTCTTGTGTTCTCCAAGCCATCTTGAGTCTACATTTATAAACATCCGCGGCACAATTTTAGAATTACGTTGTATGGGCACAAGTCAACTTGTTGGATCTCGATTTTTAAAAAATCTTAGCTTAAATATCAAAGTATGGATTTGTGGGCGAACCAATACTTTCATACACGTAACAAGCCGTAAAAAATGTTTAATGTTCCGGACTCCCACCCTTAAATCCCAAACGCTCAACCCAACTGTCTTTATACTTCTTTCGGTAACATAACAGATGATAATGGATATGCAGAAAATGTAATCTTGGGGATAGTCCAATTATACATAATTATACAATAATTATGTATAATTATACAAAATGATTTTTGCATTATACCTTATCATACATAAATCTTTAGAACATAATAATAAATTACGATTATACATAACACTTTTAACCTTATACATTTTGTACCTGGAAATAAATAAATGAATTTGAAATGTTCACCTACCGTTCCTCCAGGCACGAGAGTACCAGGTGCCAATCCTTCGGTGATGAAACCTGCTGCTACCATCAGAAGTCCGCAGCCAAGAATGACGCACCAAGCATGTGTAGATATCATTTTGTTCCACAGCTCCACAGCATGGTCTAAAATTCAAATTTGCAGAACAAAGTAGTCACAAAATAAAGTTGCTATCATATAACTAAATCATATACTGCATTATACTGTATATTAAATAAGTTTAGTGACATGAAGTAAAATATAAAAAAACTTATATTTTTTAATTATGCATTGGCCTTGTCAGCTACCAGTGAGCCTGCATCAAAAGTGGGCCCTTGAAATCCATTGAATTGCAAAGTAAAGCCATTGAATTGATCAGGACATACCTCTAACTTTGAGACAACTGCCAGGTGCAGCACTATCCTGGTCTCCATTGCTCTCCTCAGGTGTGTTTTCTCCTTTGATTTCTGCAAAATCGCTAGGTGGGGGTTCGTCATATGCAGCGTGTTGCAGTCCAGCTGGGGTGAAGATTCTTTCACCATGTGGATCCACATCTTTGTACTTTCTTGACGGCAACCGGGGAGGAACATCTTTGTGTTTTCCGTCATCTTGTTTTTCGGGAGACTGCTCTGTACCGCTTCCTTTCGTTTCTGCAAAATTGCGAGGCGGGGTTTTTTGGGGTGCAGCGCGTTGCAGCCCAGGGGTGAAGATACGCTCACCGTGCGGATCCACATCTTGGTATCTTCTTGCCGGCAATGCAGGTGGAACAAGTTTATGATCTTGCTTTTTGGGAGACTGCATGATTCTGGTTTTAGTAGGTGCAACTGAGCAAGTTAAGAATGAAAAGAGCACCAGCAATGTTTTGTTCGCATAAACTGCAAAGAACAGTCAAGATGAAACAAGCCTCACCAGACAAATTCAAAAAGTATCAAAGCAACTTCTACAGATTAGATTAAATTCCAAACACGATAAACAATGCATTATGTACGCAGATTCTAGTGAGTTTTGCCTTTGTTTATTCACAAAATTTAAAATTAAATCGGTCTGCTTGCCTTTTTTCATTGACACAAAGATGAACTACAGTTGTGAGTTACCTTGCAGTCAGTCAATTTCTACACATCACAGACTCCGAACTGGTAGAATCGGCAAAGATCTGGTAGAATCGGCAAAGATCCAGATTGGATTCTTTAATAATCATTAATGATTAAAAGGAACATGGCTTGGGTTAAACTCCAATTATTTCCAGGGAAGAGGCAGAAAACAGATTATTTTGTGGATGACACCTCAGTTTCAGTTTATTTATTTCACTAGCAGCTACACTCAGGTACATAAAAACAGTTTTTTAAAGCAATGCTGGGTATACAAAGTACAAAATAACGGACTGTACAGTATTACAAAAACACCTACGACAGAATGACATACAACAAAACACACTTATGCACTACATGACCCTTATATCACTCCAGGCAGGTCAGTTAGGTGGGTCGGGCAGCCAGGCCAGGTCAAGCGGCTGGGTCAGGAACCTGGGTCAAGCAGCTAGGTCATTCAACAGCCAGGTCAGGCATCTGGGTCAGATGCCCTGGTAAGGCGCCTGGCCTGGGTTGGGTACCCGAGTTGTGTGCCTGGGTCTGGCATCTTGGTCAGTTGCCTGGGTCTATCTGGTGCCTGGGTCAGTGGCTGTGTCAGGTGGCTGGGCCTGGTTTCTCACTGATCAGGAAATGAACATGGTTCCACACAAACCAGAGCTGGAAGCAAGAGGGAAATGCTTGGCTTTTTTGTGTCCTACAGTTCACGTGATACAGGGTAATTACAGTCATTACTATGATACAATTCCATTTTGCATATTGAAATTCATAATACATAAAAACATCAGCTTATTCTAGACATGTTTTCAGGTGTTTTTAACCGGCTTTTTCTTTGGTACTGCTGGTACAACATACAATCATGTATTTGATACTGCCCTGCCAATGATAGTGTCTTGCCAATTTGATGCTGTCTTGCACCCACCAAGAGATCTAGTCTGCAGGAAACTATAGCCAGCCAACTCCCCTAACCAGCTATATTCTTTTCAGGCCAATATCTACCATTTATTCAGCCTGCAAAGGTGTCTGGTAAAGACTACAAAAGATCTGTTTGGAGACCATCAGAAGACAGGTCTGATCCTTACCTCAACTGGAACACACAACGCTCTGCCTGCAGCCAGCAGGAGGATTGCTGTGTAGTGGACTGTGGGAGGGAGGTGCCAGCTGTATAACTGCACACCTTTCACATGGCCATACAGCCATAGAGGCAGGACATGGAGTCCTGTGATAGCAAACGTTCCTGCTGGAGTCTTGAAACCTGCAAATAACAAAGTCATGTCAGGCTAAAGTACTGTACAGGGATGTTAATATGTGATCCACTCTTCACTGTGCTTGTCAGTAAGAGCTATGAGAATTTCCCCAGTACAATGAACCTGTAAATACTGTACAATACATAAATGTAGCATCTGTCTTCTCTGTCACAACCAGTGGAAGGATAGTTCTTCAATGAGATAAAACTGGTTCAAGACAACTTTCCTTTCCTGCATACTTTGCACAACATTGCCACTAACGGGCTTTGGGAAGAGACTGGAAAGAGTAGAAATTTGCCAAATACTAGGTAACATGCCAGGGGAGTTGGTCAGCCGAAGAAAGCAGTAGCAAACTGTACTGATCCTAATTCAGCAGACCAATTCCCCTAGCATGTTATCTGTCTCCATTTGGCATTTTCTACTCTTTCCAGCCACTTCTGAAGCCTGATAGAGGCTAATACAACTGTTATGAACCCACTGTGAACCATTTTTCCACTACCACACAAGATCCCCCCTGATCCCCCCTATCTTAGAAGTAGAGCAGTCCCACCCAGTAACCTCACTCTGGTGCTTAGGAGTCCTGGAGGCACCACAATAAAGTATGAAGCTCCTCAAAAGTCCAGTGTGCGACCAGTTCACTACAATCTAACACTAACAGCAAGACCTTACAACAATAACGTACCTTTTGCCATGACTGCCTCCACCCACCAGGGGGCGGTAGTAGACCGCCAGGCTGGGCCCATGTTGTGGGTACACACAAACACCAGCCATTCCAAACAGGCAATGAAGAATCCCCACTAGGACAAAGAAAGGAAGAAAAAAATTAACTGACATTTCGTTATCTACACTTGTAAGACCTTTCAAAGTGAACAATCCCAACAAAATCAAAAAGGAGAAAAAAATCATTTCATTTTCAACTACATACATTTTCGAGATGTCTTTCAATATATTGTTGTTCATCCGTCGTAGTCGACGATGACCAATGAACATCACATCAGGTCTGACACCCCATACACCCCTTCAATATATCTACATGTATGGCATGCATACCATTACTCAATACAGAAAGAGATTTTCATCTGACCTAGTTTCAGATATACATGTACATGTACCAACAAGGTTTAACATCATTGGCCCACATACTAGTAATGCAATGTATAAACCTGTATGATTTACTACCAGTTACAATGTATCTTTCATTGTGCTTACAACACATTTCCACACATCACATTGTTACCTGATAAAGACAACACCACAGAAGAGATCTTCCTACACAGTCCACTGCAACATCCAACTGCAGGTACAAAGAGGATAAAATGTACTTAACAAATCATTGCTATATGTCCCATTGGGATGTTGTCCAGTACATTTCCATGGATACATAGATGTACTCATAAACTAACTGTAGGCATTATATTAGATGGTAGGATTTGATAAATGTTAACCGGTAACAGGATAGTACACATACCCAAGCTCCAAATGCTGACACTTGGTTCAGTTTCCTGGCTGCCCAGCCATCTATACCTATAGCAAAAGAACATACCATATGTAGATACATGTGTAAAGAAATTTCATAAAATACTTTGGCTTCCTCATAATCCTCAAATATGTTAGAGGTGAGTGAGTGAGTGAGTGAGTGAGTGAGTGTAAGAGAAATGTTCACAACATTCCTAAAATGCTGTATCGAATAACCTGCATATAACATGCCTGAATATAATTTTATTGATAATCCTCCTTTTTTAAAATCATATGGATCCCCCCCCCCCAACAACCAGGAAAAGGTCAAGAAACATGGTTATAATAAGTAGCTGATTTAACTTCTTAACCCCAAATGAAGTTGGAATTTCCGAACTCACCATCCAGGATTATGGATGTTGTGTAGAATGGGAGAAACAGCATTGGGATGTCAAAGGTCAACCAGGCAGCCAATAGCAGGGCAAGCCTGATGTAACCTGAAAAAAAGTAAAGCAGAAATCAAACATGGTTATAATTAGAGCTGTGTACCTAAACAAATTTTAGGTACAGGTACAGGTACAGGTACACAGGTTTAGGTACAGGTCCGGACCTGAACCTGTATCTGAACAATTCGACCAATTTATATGCTCTTCTGAACTCCTTCAATAACAAAAAAAACATTAATAAACTTGATAGTTAAGGTTTATTCTTTGTTTATGGCGAATGCTCAGATGAAATATAGGCAAAACTAAAGATGTTTTTGTTTTCATGAACACACTGTCCTTACACAGGGACCGATTTGAGGTCACAAATAGGCATAAAATTGGTGTGAAATTGTTTAGGTACAGTACCGGTACTGAGGGATTAGGTATTTTGGACCTGTACCTAATCACTTTTTCCGGTACAGTATCGGTACTGCGTACCGGTACACAGCTCTAGTTATAATATAAATGTGTATTATTCCCATAATGGAATTGGTGCGCTTCATGTTGGGAGAACAAGGGACACTGTATGGTATGGGGAGACATCAGTGGGGCACCACGCTGCTTGCAATTCTACAAATTTCTGGCAGGGGGCGCAACTACACATGAAAAGGTCAGATGCCCTCACCAGTCTGCACTGGACCAATATTTCCATATACCCTTCGTGGTGCAAGGGGCCCCGTTACAACACGGATGGCAACCTGGCTATCTGAAGCAGTATTTTGCAAACATTACGTGAAAAGATCACCTCTTTTGGACATTTCAAGGAGGTTAAAACAAATAGACAGCAACAACAACGAACTTCAACTTACCTATAACATTCGGCACGTACCAAAGCACTTGGAAGCGAGGGGTCGCCATCGGATAAATTTTTACAACAACGAAGAGCTTTCAAATCTGTATCAATACTATCTCAAGAACTTTGGGCACACAAGAAAATGAAAGGAATTTAGTATCTTGGTCGGCAAGACACCTCGCTATGAGTGGAAATACTGTGTTGTTGTCCTGGGTCTAGCTCTTCAGCAGGAAAATGTGACATCGGCCCAAAGGTCAAAGTGCGTTAGGGACGGTACGTTTAACACCCAAAACGGGGATGTGAAGGAGTAGGGACTGTACATTTAACGTTCTGGGTGAGGATGGATGTCTGGTACTGTTTGTATGGAATAAAGTATTGTGCTGTTACATTTTGTACATGTACTTGTATTGATTTTTTTGGGGGGGGGGATCGTTTCTACTAAGACTGTGAAACAGATATGCAAATGTCAGATCAAGGAAACACATGTCAATTTTTCAACTTTTGCAGCTTAAATAGATGAAAGCTAAAGTCTGAAACTGTCCTAGAAAACAATGCCACAAAATAGTTCATTCAAAGTTTATTTATTGATCACCGCATACGGTCTGCGGATGAAAAATAGTATTAACCTAATATATGGTACAGCTTAAAGAGAAAACCTCCTATGATAACAGCACTGGGTCTTCTCTTTATCTCTCATCACAATCTGTGCTGGAACCTGTGAACAAGTATAGCGAACAGTTATCTTGTCTGAAATGAATTCCTGTACAAAAAAAAAACAAATCTGGAGACTTATTTAACTCACCAGTGCATTAAATGTGATCCACCACTTTCCAATACCACAATGCTCCACTCCCTGTCATCAATATATTCCAACAAAACTACTGATATAGTCGTTTTCTGCTACCCAACATGTGAACAATCCAACAGGCATTTTTGCAAGCCTTGGTTGAATCTGGATACATGTTGGAGCATTGAAAAATAGGGTCTCAATTCTTCCACTGAATGGGAAAACATCCTAAGTCAATTAAAATTACACCACTGAAATTCTGTGTTCCTCTTGTTGCTTTTGTGTGTGTGTGTTTCTGAAACAAAATCCACAGTTTTGTTCAATACAGTAAGACCTTGTATGGATGCTGAGGCAAAACTAGAAAATGTATGTAATCCATATTATTCCACATACATTGTATAATATTATGGACCATATCTTTATGACAATAGAGGAAAACTCCACATGAGACAGACTTGGCCTGATGTCTCAAAAGCTTTTTCAAGTATGGTGGAGCACCATTCTAACATCATACATTAAACATGACATATACCTTATTAACAGGAAAATATTTCATAGATGATACACAACAAGCTTCAATATGCACATTGAACTTTTCATTCCAAAGCATATTATAAACAACACAAAGTTGATATCATTTGCCAGTTGATGATCAACCAATACATTTAACTGCTGACTTGCAGTAAGAAAACATAGCAAATGACAGGCAAAATGAATGGTTTTAATTTCAGAAACTGGTATTAAACAGACTGTTTTAAACAACCTTCCACATTTCCAATCATGTCTGTACTTACATACCTTCCTAAAGTTGCAGCAAGTATGTAAGATCACATTTTGTTGGTAGGAGAGTGAACTGTGTGTGGACAAAATTCTGCAGCTTCATTGAATGTATTCTGCAAGCATACTTTGAATACCAGTATCAATCATTCAAATTCATGGAAGGCATTCTTTATTGTTCACACATTTTCAGATGAACCTGGGTTAAATACTTGTGTTACCATTATTTTGGTCTGCAGTGTAAGATTAGAAAGTTCTATAAACACATGTACATTGTACACTGTATTGGTGGATTGCACAGGTCTAACATTTTACTACAGAATTTGGGGTCAAATGTTCCACTGTAGCTTATTTGAAAGATTCTCAAGATTTTCCAAGGATGACCTACCAAACAAGACTTTAGTGCAGCATGTTCTTGAGATAAGGTCTTTGCACAAGTCTTGCTAGGTTCCTCCCGAATCCGATCTTTACTTCCTTCTGTGAATGTTCCTTGACTTAACTGTAGTGGTGCACGTGGTGATTGTTCACTTCCCCCAGAATGGTAACAGAAATCTTTTTACATCATTCAACAAAATATTTTTTTCCCTTCTTCCAATCTTTCCCTCCAGTCTTAAGTGGTGTGCTTCTATTTCTAATAACCAACAGAGAACTCGGAAGCTTATAATTAAGTTCATCAAAAAATTACTCCAAATTTACAGTCTGTAACTTATACCCTACATGGTGGACCAACATTTAAACCTTACGCTGAAATTCTTGTCAAATCTACATTTGTTATATCAAACGTAATTGTTACATACAGGTGCCTTCTTGGCAATTAATTGTGCAACAACAGAGGCAAAATCAAATCCCTGCCCTCCCAATGTTAACACTGAACACAATGTTTCCTAGTAGGGTCTATTAATGGAAATCTATGGACACTTTCTCAATATATTGAGTTGCACATCTTAATGTTGGATACAGGAAACAAAGCGTGGAGCAACATTTCATTGTCTTTCCTGTCTTGATGATGGGTTGGCATTATAAATACAAGAACATAATTTTTAGACAAGCAGGACAATTTTTGAAATCTCGACTCTGTACAATGAATATCAAAAACGCTGTTACAGAGATTTGCTTTGCAAAGCTCTTTTTCTGTGTCTAGTTCTATCGGTGCCTGCATTGGGTTGACTTGAATGGGGGTGGAAGTCCTGCAAAGGGACCTACTGTATTACACTATACCATATTGTATGTACTGGTATCCTTCTTGGTAAAAACTCTACAGCCAATATATTGGCAGTACACATAAAGCTCTGGCCGTGGTTAGTTAGGAACACATTTGGCCGACTAATTCTTTTGCCAGTCACTGGAATCAGAGTTGTGTGGGTATGTGTATTATCTTCACAAAACATCAGCTTTTGTTTCACGGTATCTTATTAAGACAATAGTTGTTCATCAAATCATTAATTAACTCTCTCATCAAACTAACGAATTGTTCTCTAGAACACAGGATCTGAATCATATAGGAAAAAGTATTATATACACTGATATGTGCAGCATAAGAACAGAACCATAAGCTGAGGAAGGGGGGAGGGGGGTGGCTGAATTATACAGGTTGGAAGTCATCATGCCAGGTAGCTGTAGGTGTCCTTCTCCCCGTCCACCCTCTCCAGATATTCCTTCTCTATCAAGATGTCGATGCATTTCTGGAGGGCAACAACAATTAATGATGATGATGATAGACTATTTAGAAGTATGCATACTTTAGGTAAGTCCATTTTACTTGAAAAAGTGTTAAGTACAAGACTAGTGTAATCCATGATTCTTTCGAAGTACTTTTATGTTCGTGATTTTAACAGTCACTCACTTCTGTACCACAAAATTATCATTTAAGCTAACAAATCAATCGCTTTCTTTTTCCTCCAATTGTGAACACAGAGTTCCATGAACACCTCCATTTTTCTCAGACTGCAAACTTTTGCTACTGTGAACATAATGTGAATTACAGTACAGTTAATCATCCCTTGGTGAAACAAACAAACAAACAAACAAATGTACCTTGATGATAGGTATCCCATGAAATAAACAAACATACAAGCATACCTACCTTGATAATAGGTAACCTATGGAATAAACAAACAGACAGACAGACAGACAGGCAGACAGACAAACAAACAAACAAACAGCCCTACCTTGATGACAGGTACCCTGGGCTTGAATCTGGAGGACAGCTGAGTCAGCACTTCTCCCAGCAGCTGCTGGTGTTTTAACACTTTACGCATCTTCATGATTCGGACAATGGCAGCCTGGGGACAACACAACAGCAGGATGGTATAAAACTGTCAGTCAAATATTCCACATCAGAACTCATGTAACTCATCAGTCAAGTTTATCATCTGAACTCATACAAGTCAATCAACAATTAACTTGTATGCCATTATTATTGTGTATTATCTATTTATTTATTTATGTATAATTTTTTTCACTATATATTACAGGGGAGACAACAGGGCGAACAATTGCTTGTTTTGTCCCAATGGAAGAGCCAAATAATGAAATAAAGACACTTCAAAAAGGACTGTTATACCTTATACTTCCCAAGAACAGTCTTGGACTGGAACTTCCATATAAAACCATCCAAAGACCAGATCTGGTGATGCTAAAAAAGAGTGATGGATGTCTGGAAGTAATCTCTGTAACTTATCAAGTAGTAGAGTTTTAACTTCCAATGAGAATGTAGAAAATGAAGAAAAGTGGAACCTGAATGAGAAGTTTGCGGTCCTCCTCGATGTGCTTGTGAGTCGTCTCCTGTTCCTGCTTCTGTTCTGTCTTCATCGGCACGTTGATGTTCACTCGCAGCTTCTTACTGTAAACGGCAAAAAAAAACAAGGCTTTACAAACTAACATCTTTATTTCTTGGTTTGGCTCTTCAAACCTCACACCCAGGGCAGCCCAGCTAGCCAGTTGCTAGTACAAAGGGCAAGACAAGACAAGACAAAACAAGACAAGACAAAACATTACAACATATGTTCTTCTCTTTTTTTGGAGTCCCTTTAGCCTGCCTGCTAATCTGACAGAATTGAAATAAACGATTACATGAAATCAACACATACAGAGGGTAACATTACTGTACTTACAAACTATTCACAGACTGAACTTAAGTGTTATAAGAGTGAGTGAGAGTGAGAGAGAGTGAGTGAGTGATTGAGTGAGTGATTGAGTGAATGAGTGAGTGAGTGAATGGGTGAGTGAGTGAGTGAGGGAATGGGTGAGTGAGTGAGTGAGTGAGTGATTGAGTGAGTGAGAGAGTGAGTGAGTGAGTGAGTGAGTGAGAGAGTGAGTGAGAGAGTGAGTGAGAGAGTGAGTGAGTGATAGAGTGAGAGTGAGTGAGTGTGAGTGAGTGAGTGAGTGAGTGAGTGAGTGAGTGAGTGAGTGAGTGAGTGATTGAGTGTTACGACATACATGGTACAAGGACATCACACTTCACAGCAGACACTGTACTTACTTTTTGTAGCCCAGGAAGAGAGACACCACCGACTCTGACTTCAACTCCTCCTCTTGGTCTTCGCTTACTAGCAGTTTTGCTTTCAACAAGATGGCAAGGACTTGTTGTAGGATATCCTGAAAAAAATGGAGAGCAAGATTCAGTTGTGTACGTTTTCAAGACAGCTAATAGCACAGGTCACAATGTGAAAATCTACTACTGTATACATGTTTCTTTGTACCACGTACAGATAACTTATCTTTTGATACTAGGTAATAGTCACAATACAGATCTTGACATTGATAGTTTGTTTGAACCAATCATTATTCAAGAGAAGCTCAAATCAGCCTGCAGGTCGCTTTTCATTGAGGTCATAAGGGAAGAGGTAAGGGTCAGACAAAATATATCAGAAAGATACAGTTTACATCATTTAAAGTCCTAAGAAATCTATACCCCTACTTCTACACATACATGGTACAAAATACAGAGGAGTGAGAGCTGGAATATGGTTGGTGTCCATCTGTTTAGTAGATAAAACTTGTAGCAACAAATAAGGCTAAGGCCTGAACATTATAAGAACATTGGTGCTAGGAAGTAGAGTTTGTTGCTGACCATTTTGAGCTGTGTGTGTTCATGTAGCTGCTGCACAGTGTAGCTGTCTGCCTGGTTAAACTGTAACAACACACTCATCTGGAACGTCGAGGCCTGGGGGGGCAAGAATCATGTCAACATTAGTCAGGGAACAGAGTCACCATGATAGACAACAAAGCATAGATACACAAGAATATGCAAATTACGATATACAATGATGAATGAATTCCCAATGACATAGCTATTTCACCAACTGCTAAGTTGTCAAAAACGCAAGCATTAGAAGTTCTAGGTTAAACATAAACATGTATCAATTACTATTGTGTAGCTGTACTGCCTATCTGGCCACAAGACCATGATAATACAATGTACTATGATGTACATGGATATATCTAGAGCTACATTTCTGCATATTCAAAGTTACCAATTGTACTTTTTTTTCTTGCGTCTTTCTTCCTTCTGTATGTTGTGGGGGGTGACAACTAGTAGAGGTGAGTTATCACATGCATTGTCTCCCCTTCCATTTTGTAAATGGAGAAGTTTAAAGAAGAAATGAAGAAAAAAAAAACTGGTTCTTACCTGTAGGGTGTACCTGTTTTTGAAACAGTTGGTGACCAGCTCTCCCTTGGACATGTGGTAGAGCCACATCAGCTTCCTGCCGCTGTGCTGGCTGCTGTAGAACGTGGTGAAACGCTGGAAACTTCGCTCCAGCTGAAAACATGGACGCAACAGAACATTCAAACTAAACCTGCAGCACAAACTGGGTGGGATAGCAGCAGGAGTCGTACATTTGTTAGGACAACAAAATTTCAGGTCACCAAAGGCCTAAACCTATAGCTAGTACATGAACTGATACCAAAGACCAAGCACTTAGAGACCACATCTACTAAGCGTAATAACAGATGTAATATAAGGACAATATAAACTTAAGAAGACTTGTATTTGAGCTCAAATTTGATTTGTAAAGGAACTATGTACCATCCCAAGTTGCGCAGTTTAAATCATAGTCTGTTAAGACTGATTGACAGAGAGAGACAAGCATAACAACAACATTTCACATCATATTGTTCAGACAGGGGACTGAAAACATTCGATTGTTGAGAGGAACATTGAAAGAAGTCATTCCAAGAGTACATACCTCACTAGGCAGGGTGAAAGAAGCTCCCTGTTGAAACGGCCAGGACCCAGAACTCAACACCTGGATACTGAAGTCCACTGTGGAGGCAGAACAGACATGTCAGGGGAAAATGGTACCTCTTCTTCAACCATGGCTCTGATAGCATGTTGGCAAATGTACTGAGACTGTGCAATGTATTGTGCATAGCACTTTTACAGAACATATCTTTTAACGCCGTGTTTGCGTATTTAAGGATGGCATTCTGTCTGTGGTTTTCAAATATTGTGTCGGAAAAGATATGTTATGCAACAGATGTTTTTAAGTGGCTCCCATGAGCCTTGCTTTGTGGTGACCGATGAAGTAAATAAAAAAGATAAAATTCTGATGCAATGTTGGCAAAACATGCAACAGAAACCATGGCTTCGTGCTGCAGCTGCAGTACATTGTACCAATGTGCTGGCTCTCATGATTTGCATGTACATTTTGTACTGCAGATGCATATATGTCTTTGGCCAACGAACAGGTCTATGCAATGCAGTTTCAAAGTCTAAAAAACCCAATAGGCTTTTTTTCTTACCATCCAAAGGTTCGCCGCTCTTCTCCAGATGTTTCTTGAACTGCTCGTTGAGGTCCTTGCTGACTCCGATGTCTTGAAACATCCTCTGCAGCTTGGACGTGTACTCAAACCCACAGGCTTGCTGCATGGCAAACATAAACAGGGCTTTAATATATCAGTTCTAAAACAGAGACATGGCTTAAGCTCTCAGTGTTCTCACCAGGCCTTTTGAGCATAGGCTTTTTGCTGTGATTTGGACCCCCTATGCTGTGATTTTGGACCTCTATGCTATCTTTCAAGCAGCATAGGGGTGTTTTTTTGGGGGGGACCCTTCATAAATCTTGCCAAAAAATGAAAATATAACAACTATCAGGATGTGATGTCCCAAGCAGGACTACATGTATGTCTAATAAACCATCAGTCCTCAGATATGAAGACTGAAGACAGATGAACTGAACTCTGTTTCTTCAGATACATGTACTATTTATGTCGATGAAGGTTAGACATCCAGGTGATACAATACGGCAAAAAGCAGTTACTCAAGCAACTGGATATGATTTTGGAAACGGTCAAAATCATATCCATGACCGTTTCCAAAATCATATCCAGTTGCTTGAGTAACTGCTTTCTGACGACATGTACTATTTTCCTGACAACCAAAAACGTTGGCAACGTTGCAACAAGTTTGGACTAGGCAGTGGTTGCATATACAGCAAGAATATTCCAACAACCCCTGCAGATACATACTCTGATGTCCCGATTAAACGTACCGGTACGTTTATTTTTTTCGGCCCGAACGTCCACCCGGTACACTCTTATTAGGGACGGTACGTTTATTAATTTTTGGGAAAAAAATTGTCCATACGTACCGCACCATCAGCAAGTGGCCGGCGGCCGCAAAATTCGGCAACACGTCACAGATAAATATTTGGTCCATGATAGCGGCATTTCCCATGAATATAATGTATATTATTTATTTTTCGCCTGCTGTCCATTTTTAAGTCCCAAAACGTCTGAAAAAGCAAAAATTTGCCCACAAAACCGAAGGGGAAGGCGAGTAGCTAATCGACGTATTTAGCACATGGCGGCCGCATTGTCCTTGTCAAAATCGGCAAAGCGGGAGAAAAATGCCTGGTCCATTTTAGCGATATTTACCATGAAAAAAACGTATGTGGTTTATTTTCCCCCTGGTGTTAGTTTTTAGGTTCCGAAACCCCTAAAAAAGTAGAAATTTGCCCACAAGACGGACGGCCGACGTGGGGAGGGCGCCTAGCGCCTGAGCAGCATGACCCGTAAAAAGTCAAAGGTCATAGGGCACCCATATTGCGCAATCACCGTAAAAGTGCCGATTTAGCTAATTTTAGGGCGTTTAAAATTGATACAATCACATTAGCGATTTTTAAAAAAACAATGAGATGGAAACCAATCAAAATTTTATGCTGAATAATATTTTTTTTCTTCAAAAGTTTTTTTCTTCAGAAGTTTTTCCTCTTCAGAATCCAGACTTTGACCAGACTAGACAATGTACCATACCAAATAATTATTATGTTATAAATAATAATATAAATGGATTTTGTTGTACATATACTCTTTAAACCCCTATATTTGTACTTAATTGGGCTTGAATTTCTATCTCTTAAGTTAGTCAGATTTTCAACTCAAGTTGCAGGAGAAGGCTTAGCAAAGTGCATTTCAGAAGTGTAAAATGCAATAGCTTCTCCTACGGATTTTGTATTTCCCCAAAACAAGTACAATATATATATACTCATTAATTAAAGTGATATATACTCACTAATTAAATGTAACAGTGAAAGATTTGCCCATATATTGGTATTGAAATAAAGAGCACATTTTAGTATCATGGACACACAGTTCACCTGTCAATTTGGTCATTTTCCGGGGGGTACGTTTATTCCGGAGGGTATGTTTATTAGACTCTGAAGATTTGTCCGGGGGGTATGTTTATTCCGGGGGGTATGTTTATTAGGGACATGAGAGTACTACATTTTGTACATGTATTACCTTGAATGACTTTGATCTCTGGCAATCATCCCAGGAACACCCATACTGAAGATTTTAACAAAGTGCTCTTTTTGTACCATACCATTGGGGGAATATGACACGAACAAGAGCAGTACACATGTAAAAAGAAAAATACCGTTACTGTTATGACCTGTTAGAAGTGGAAGGTGAACTGACCTTTCTGACCCCAGGGTTGGAAATACTGAGTGCATGTGCACCTTAGTGCACCCAAATTTGGAGCTGTGCACCCAATTTTTCCTGTGGGTGCACCAGTGCACCCAAATATTTTTGTAGGTTTATGTATGTCAAGATGTGAAATGTATGTATACAGCATATTCTTAACATCTAATAGTCAGAAACATAGTCAGTTTTTGCTGACATTCTACTTACTTCATTTTACATGGTGCACCCCCAAAAATTTTTTTGTGCACCCAATTTTTTATTTTTAAGTTGGGTGCACCAGTGCACTTATTCCCAAAAATGAATTTCGAGCCTGGACCTGTTAGAAGCTGAAGGTGAACTTACCTTGAGTTTAGAGATCATGCTGGCCTCTGCATCGTCGCTGGCAGAGTTGTGCTGCACCAGACGCTTGGCCAGCATTTTGGCATAGAACTTCTGGAACACGTCCTTGTCTTCTATGTACTTGAATACTATCATCTGGGGGTAGGAACAGAATACTTTGATTCTTAAAGTTCAACTACATGTATAATCACAATGTAAATGTTTTTCCTATCGTTCTTTAGCTAATCAAAGTTTTTTTTTTATTTACTTCGTGATTCACCACAAAACAAGGCTCATGAGAGCCACTCGAAATGTTTTGGGTTACAGTACAGCCAGTGAGGACAGATGTTTGTTGACCTTAGACTTGAAATGTTTAAGGTTATACCCATATGGGAAACAATCACGTGATAGGTTATTCTATAGTCTAGTGATTCTGTAATTAGAGTTTGTACCATTAGATATTACATCTTGAACAAAAGATATGATACAGCAAACAACATACAATGTATATTCACAACTATGCTACAAAAATACCAACCCAACAAATTTTTACTCACTACTTGGTTCAGGGTGTCCTCTAGCTCAGCTTCTTCTGGATTTTTCGAGCTAAAATATAAAAGAAAGACAAAGGTAAGAACCCATGGACAACTTCCTCAGTCAACACATTATTAGTGGGTACCAAAACCAGTGTAAATAAAGAAAACATGAAATATTATTCAGTTCAATACTGCTTGAACAAGTTACAGTCCTGCCTTACATAGCTTGTACTTTTTGTACAAAACTATTATGTTATGCTTGAAGGTGGTTTAATGGTTATGGTTAGGAAACAAACAAACAAAGCATTACCTTTTCTTGAGCAGTGAGTCGCAGTACCTTGCCAGTAGTTCTGGAGACTTGCTGGATGACTGGGCCATCCGTGTTACTGCATTGTTGTTGATGAATCTACCACATGCCTGGAAAAATACATCCCAACAGATGTACAAACATTTCATAAAAAACTGTAAAAAGTCTATGTATTTATAATAATCTATTGCACCCTCCTCCTAGCTTTACAAATGACAAAGCAACAAAGACAACTTACTTTATCTAAAGATGCCACAAATCCAGAGTCGTTGTTGAAAGCTGTCAGGACTAAGGCATTGTACTTTTTGTGCACTTCCAGGATGGTCTGTACATACACCTTGGGATCCTGCAAAACAAGAAGCAATTTTAAACATATCTGGAAAAAAAAGTTCTCAATAACTCTTCAAAAGAAAAGGGTGGAGAGGATGACAATGAGAACAGTAACATTAGTGTTTGAGTAACACCTATGTGTATTGTACATATTTGTGCAATACACACGTGTATTAAAAATGTGTATTGACACAATTACACAAACAAAACAAGTGCCTAACCCACCAGGTAACCAACATTTTTATCTGTGATGGTAGAAGTCATTTTCAAGTCCGATTCTTGTGTTGGAAATTACAGTTTAAACTTGCTTCATAACACAATTTGTGGACACAGTGAATGTTTCCTTACATTGACGGCTGTTTCCCCACACTTCTCTATGGCAGCCAGGCCCTGGTTATGGACGTGCAGTACTAGTAACATGTTAAATGGGTGTACGTGTAGAATGAATATTTCTTACATTGATGGCAGTTTCCCCACATTTCTCTATGGCAGCCAGACCCTGGTTGTGGATGTGTTTTTCCATATTTAACTACTGTATCATGGTTAGTAGAAGTACTGAATGTTTTCTTACGTTAACGGCAGTTTCCCCACACTTCTCAATGGCAGCCAGACCCTGGTTGTGGATGTGCAGTACTACTAGTAACATGGTTATTATGTACTGAATGTTTCCTTACATTGACGGCAGTTTCCCCCACTTTTCAATGGCTGCCAGACCCTGGTTATGGATGTGTTGTTCCATATTTAACTACTGTATCATGGTTAGTAGAAGTACTGAATGTTTTCTTACATTAACGGCTGTTTCCCCACACTTCTCAATGGCAGCCAGACCCTGGTTGTGGATGTGTTGTTCCATATTTAACTACTGTATCATGGTTAGTAAAAGTACTGAATGTTTTCTTACATTGACGGCAGTTTCCCCACACTTCTCAATGGCAGCCAGACCCTGGTTGTGGATGTGTTTTTCCATATTTAACTATCATGGTTAGTAGAAGTACTGAATGTTTTGTTACATTAACGGCAGTTTCCCCACACTTCTCGATGGCTGCCAGGCCCTGGTTGTGCATGTGCAGTACTAGTAACATGGTTATTATGTACTGAATGTTTTCTTACGTTAACGGCAGTTTCCCCACACTTCTCAATGGCAGCCAGACCCTGGTTGTGGATGTGTTGCTCCAGCAGGTTTCTCAGCTCCCCCAGACCGTCATGGATCCTGGACACAAGGCTGTACATCCTGCCCAGATCTGCAGAAGTAAACATGATCAATGTGAGACTTCAGGCAAGATGGGGTCCTGTGGTGCAACAGCAGAGTGCTTGGCTCAGAACCAGGAGGTGCAGGGTTCAAATCCTGCTATGCCACTGATCTTGTGCCCTTGCGAAAGGCACTTTACAAGACTTTCCTCACTTCACTCAGGTGGAAAAGAGTACCTAGCTTTGATTTGGGATATCCCTCAAGTAAGACGTTACATGGACGTAACATGTTTGATGAGAGCATGTTAAAAAAACCCACCATGCTTATAAAAAAGAGGAGGTGTCATATGGCTACACCTGGAGACGTGGTGAGGTCAATTGAGTTAGTGCCAAATGGCAGCCACTCTAGACCCTTGCGATTCAGCCCCACCAACTGTAAGCTCCTCTCAATTTAGGCTTGGCTACAAGGAGGGCATAGCCAGCCCATCCAATAACATAGTCATGGATGTTAGAGGATGAGTAACTAAAGGGAGGTTAGGCATTACCATACCTTCGTTTTTGTCTGCATCCAGAAGGTTCTGGAACTCTGCGTGGAAGATTTCCAGGTGTTTCTCGATGAGCACGTGTTCACATTTCTTGGCCAGCTCGTCGTGTGTGCTCTCATGTAGGTACACCTGTACCCTTCTCTGTTCTTCTTGTAGACGCTGCTCGGCCTGAAATTGAGAAAATTTCGGATGGTACCTATAAACTGATACAACTGTATCTGTGAATAACTTCATCAGGTGGTTGAATGATTGAAAGTCCTTTATTCACAAATACTTGTTTAAGAAGAGCTGACATTTCAGTAAACCAGTAACACCTAGCTTCAGTGCAGGGTAAACCAGTCATAATTGCCCTAACGAAGACGACAGACGATTATTCGAAATACCAGCTCTAGTTGAACAAGTGGTTGTGAATAAAGAACTTTGTTATTCATTGATACGACTGTACCTGAACTCACATGTACAGCTTTCTTCTAGAAATGACTTCTATTAGGCATTATTATGGCTTTTAAAAATACTGAAAAAAGGGACAAATCTGATGTACTTTAAAGAGATAAATGTCCAAACCAAGGCTCTACCCAGCATCCAGCATTCTGTCACTGTTGTTTTATGAATCTGGTTGCTAATGACGAACAATGGGTAGGGAGGACACTTGTAAAGGTGTCAATGCACCTGTTTTGTCCTCCCTTCCTCTTGTAATAATATTTGTACTTGTAGCTACACGCTACTTGAGTAGCGTGCGTAGTCCAGTGGTGAGCGATCCTGCCTCTGGACTAAGAGGTTGGGAGTTCGAATCCCGGCTGATGTCGCTCACCCGACATGCACGCTACTGTTTAGGGTCGCAGTCCTTCGGACGGGACGTTAACTGTGGTCCACTGTTCATTGTGCTTGTCGAAAAGAGCTAGGGAAATTTCCCCGGTACAATGAACCTGTAAATACTGTATATAGCGTCTGTCTTCTCTGTCACGACCAGTGGAAGATTAGCTCTTCAATGAGTTAAACTGGATCGAGATCACTTTCACTTTCACTTGTGGTAAATTCAAATAGAAATAATTGTCATTCTAAATAATATAGCAGACCTACCTTCTTCATGTACTCTGTAACCGGGTTCTGTCGGAGGAAGTCTGAGCTTTCACTGGTGTAGAACCGCTCCGTGTCTGACAGGAAGTGGTTCTCAAACGAGTCCTTGTACACGGTGAGTGTCGGACCTTTAGCCAGTAGGTCATCCTCATTCAGACCCAGCTCAACTGGAGAATAACAAGATTAACAGGAATTAATCAATAGTTACACAAAGTGAAAGCTTTGGAATTTGTTACAAAAGGTATTAAAGAGGCCATCTACATCAGGGCATCGGAACCATCCCTCAACAAAGAGGGGGGGGGGCCAACAGATTTTCTCACCGAGTCACGTGTGTCGTCTGCATAACAACTACAGATTACGTTAAGCGATGATGAAAAGTAGTGGCATCTGACAGTTTTTTAAAAGCTTAGACTCCGCTTAGGGTCCAGTTTCTTGAGTAACTGTTTTCATGTACACGCATTTCCCCCCTCAGTTAGAGGGATCCTGGGCCCTACTAGGATTTGGGTTGCCGTTAGGAAGGGCATCCAGCTGTAAGAAAATCTTGCTTCAAAAAGACTTGCACTTGATGCAAGCACGTCTAACCTCCAGTTTTGGGTAAAAAAGATGTTAAACTGGATAGAGAGAAAGAGAGAGTGTTAGCCTTACCATAGCACTGTATAACTCCACTGATAAGTCTGGTGTTGATGGTCTCCCCGTTTCTCTCCCGCTCGATCAGTTTCAGGACAGCGTTGGTCACCTGCTTGTTCAGCGGTTTGAAGAGGTGTTCTCTCCAGATCACCAGGGCAAGCTGAGGACGGGAGCAAAACAAATAAATGAACTCACACAGTCAGGGAACAATTTTCTTCCAAATAGCATCAAATGGTCATGGAAGTTCATCTGTGTTGGTAGCAAGCATCGTATACTTGTATGATGCCAAAGTAAATGTCATCAATTATCCTGATGTAGGCGACAGTGGTTGTTGAAAATTTTACCCTTGTGTATCCTCGTGTTCAAATAAAATAAAGTTAAGCATTGTACTATAACATCAAGTGGTGTACAAGCTACAGTACAACAGGAACTTTCTTACACCTGCTGTCTTTCAAAACAACAGAAAATCAAGGAAAATACTACAAGTGAGATTAGACTAATGAAAAAACAGAGAGTTAGGTTGCAAACTTTTTTGAAAAGAATGGAAATTGATGTGCATGCAGATGTTATCCATATAATCAAGTCAGTATATGAAAAAAACAGCTCGTACTGAATAAATCTCGTAGATCCCTTTTCTGCCCTCGTCACACTCCCGTCGGACCCAGTGGCGGTTCAGGTAGGCACACACGCCATTGAGAACCTTGCTGGAGAACTGGTAGTCCTCCCACTGTTTGGTGTAGAAGTGCAGCACGTCTTCGTCCATCAGGTCAACGCCGTCCTGGGAAAACAACAAGAAATACCAGGTAAGTCATGCCTTCAGAGTTATCAACCAAGGATTGGGGTGTTCAAAATCTATTCTTTCCTAGAACTATCGTAGAGCGGAACTTGCCGCTACCAAGTACAGTAGGGGCATCATCAATAGATGTGCAAAGGTTGGGTGTAACAGGTTGTTTGGTATAATATAGCTAGCTGCCACTGCACCACATGCCCGAGAAGCAGAGTGTTATGTGGAGGATTGGTTATACTGGCTACACATATACAGATAAAAAAGCTGGTGTATGCCAATCAAATTTTCATAATTTACCAACACCAGTAAGGAGTTGTGATGTTTCTGTATCAATATTTGCATGTTTGATATCTGTTGTCATCTGCTATTAATAAAGTCCTATCATGGAAATCACTGGACATATACAATTTCCTCATTATTCATGCAAATGATACTTTGAAAACCCTAAAGTTTATAGAAACAGAAGTACCTTGAGGAGATTGATCAGGTAGTTCTTGAGGAACTCCTTGAGTCGTCTGTACAGCTCCAGACCCACGAACTGGGCCCCTCCAGTCGGCTGGCCTCCCTTCTTACTCTTAGCAGAAGAGACGCGTCCTTGGGACTGGTGGACACTGGTACAGTAGTTATACACATGTCTGGCTTGGAGTTAAGGTCAACAAGACAACAAAAATACACACACAATTTGTCATCAGTTCCTGACATTCAATTACCGGATTAATTGACTGACAAAATTTCACACTTTTCAGAATCCAAAATGGAAACATCCATCCCTATTTCAGAGAATTACAACTTACAAGAATGATCCTGTTTAGGCTGTAGAATCTGAAATCAGGCAATTGTCCAAAAATCTATCTAGTTGCTTGAGTAACACTTACTACCAGTTTTCTTGTGTTTCTCATTACCTGGATGTCTAACCTTCTAAGTTAATTAATATGATTTATACATTTTTTCAGAATGAGTATTCATGCTTCAAGAATCAACCGATTTGCTAATGTCAATATTTTCCTAAATGAACAAGTGTCATGAAAACTGTGGCAGGACAAGGATACGTGTACAGCTCCATGTATCTTGGCTTGGCCATGGTTTGTCGACGGTACACCTGTTCTATCCCAGCCTTCAGGTCGTCCCAGATCTGATCCAAGCCAATTTGTTTTAACCCGTGCGGGTTCTGGCCCCGTGACGACCCCGCTGACATCTTGATACGCTTACGGGAAGAAATCTTGGATAACTCTGGTAGACTCCGTCGTGTAGAAATCCAAAATCCTGACCAGTTATCCGGTTATAAGCTGGCGCTTAAATCAAATACAAGTCCCGTATTGCCACTTAAAGTAAGTCTGTACGGTAGAAATGTATTCTATAAGCGTTTTTCTTTTCATGTACTTGTTACATGTAGTTGCTCTACTGTCATCGACTGTCTACTGCCACCCAAAATTTGCCTGAACAAAATACCTATTGTTCTAGTGTGAAGTGGAGTGTTGAACTTGAAGTCTTCTTGCACGCAGGACTCGATAAGGATGACTCTGAAATATAAACATCGCAGGGAAAAGTTATCACTTTGCTATGGGACAAATATTTTTCCTTACATATGAACATACATATAATTTTCATGTCTGAGCCTGAAATCACTGATAAGAAACTTTTGACCACTTACTAGTCATGATTGTGCTTGAAGTCCGCAACAACCTAAGAATAGAGTTCTGCCTCACTGTGTGATAGCCACAACTTGTCATCTTCTAAACTTAAATAAAACTTCCATGATGTAAGCACTAATATACAGTAATGTTGGTGAGAGTCATGTGGCACCTAACTACTGATTGTAAGATTAAAAAGTTATAAATCAGGCAAAAATCCAACCTGAATCAACAATACACGGGAAGATTTCTTTACCACATACAAATCTATACGTTTGTCCAAAGAAACCTCATTGATCTGTCTCAATAAAAGCACCAGCCCCCAAAAAATCATACACTTAGAAGTATATGCCCCCCTCCCCACACAATTTTTTTGTTCTGACAAAAAATTGTGCCATCATGAAACTTTGGGTCACGATAACCTTCGAAACACAAACGAAGACTTACAAGCGCAATCATTGGAAAACTAGTGGACTGTGTTTTACTCGGAAGGCTACGACGAAGAGATTTAATCGTCGCCCGTGGATCAAAAATTGAAAATGATCAATTCAAAATACACTGACGTCTTTCCTCACCCGACAAAAATGGCGGCCTCCTGACATCCGTCTGTTGACACAAAGAATGGAACGTTTCGTCCGTTGTTTCACGACAATTCTACACCAAAAGGACGACGCCTCGTTCCTCCTCACCTGTAAATTATTCGCTAGTCCCTAGCTTTCGTCACTGTGGTTTTATTATAGACCTAACAAGGAAAAGCGAACAATTTCTTACCATTTGTTCTACCACGCAAGTCTAAAATCACTCCTGGCCCCCTCACGACTAAGTTGAATACTGCAGCTAGACCGCCTTTGACCAATCAGACGTATTTAAATAAGTTATATGTAAAAACCCTCTATCCTCGCCTCTTTTTGTCTACGAAGGAGTCAAAAGTATGTTATTTTGGCATTCTGACATGTAGTTTCTAAATTTTTATTGAATTCCAGCGACTTTTATTCTATAACATCATACAGGCGCTCTTTGTGGGGAAGAGTTAACTCATTTGCATATTTGTGACTGATGTAAGATCATACCAAGGTGGTCTGGATACTATATTGTTTACTACATATTGATACAGCAATACTACCATCGAAAAACTTGTTTCATAGTGCCTACATCATTGTTTTTATATTTCATATACCTTGCATATTTTTTTTATAACAGTCATGATTTCGTTGTTCCCCTTTGGATTGACACCCCCATTTCGATATGGTATCACCCCCACCATTTCCTGTTTCCAACATGGCGTGCCGGGTCTGTCTCCAAAAGGTAAATATTTACATTTTGTACGTACGAATTTTTCTCACCTTTTCATTGTCATGTACGAATTTCTCTTGTTTTATGATACTGCTATGATGCTTCTGAACCTCCCTGTTGTCTAGATGTCCCACCCACAAGCGTTTATTTTGCGCATAATGAGGTCTTTGAGAATGAATAAAAATCAAGCGTTGTTTGATGTGTTTACATCAAATTTGATCGGGTTTTATGCATGAGCGTGAAGAATGTGTGCGTCACTAATTTTTTTGTTTGTTTGTTTGTTTGAGCCTTTATTTCAACTCGATCTGTAACAGTGTTACATGCTCTAATCGGCCGCTATTTCGGCCGCTTTTCATAGAGGTCGAGCGTGGAGGAGTGTCAGGGGGTCATAACATAAATACTACTTGCTCACAAATGAAAACAAAGTAATATTTTTTATACATAAGGTAACTCACACAAAGTAAATAAATAAACAAAATGGCAATAACTAATAAATAACTCATAACTCGTTGTGTCCAAAGTCGTCCAGTCAGTTACGATACTAGCAGTCTTTTAAAGGTTCCAAGAGTAGGTGCTGCTCTAACATGCTGCGGAAGAGCGTTCCATACAAGAGAGCCAGAGTAGGCTAGGGATCTCCGGTATATTTCTCTTAATGGCATCGGTACCGCAAGGAGATCAGTCGCGCTTTGTCTGGTGCTTCTGGTCGCTCTATCCCTACAGTATGTGAAAATCCGGCGCATGTACGGCGGTAGTTGGTTGTTCAGGGCCTTATGTAGTAGGAGGGCTTTGTGATGTTTGTGGATTGACTTTACGTCCATCCAGCCCAGACGTCGGTGGACTTCGGCTGATGGAGTTAGATACGGGGCTCGTAGAATCAGCTTGCCAGCTCGGTTCTGCAACCTTTGCAATTTCCCCAACTCACGTTCGGGCGCAGCGTCCCAGACAGTGCAGGCATATATAATATGTGGCAAAAATATAGTTTTATACAAAGTTAACAGAGTAGATGTTGGAAGGAATGTGCGGACGTGCTTTAAAATGCTGAGTGATCGCCTGAGTTTGCCCAAGACGGCATTTATTTGACACTTCCAGTTGAGATTACGATCAATTGACACACCTAAGTATTTGTAAAAGGTACATTCCGTTACAGTTGCCCCATTGATATACACTTCAGGGCTTCTGCAACTGTTAACCCTTTTATCTGTTCCAATAAGCATGAGTTTGCATTTACCACTGTTTACGGATAACGAATTAGCTGTGAACCACTGAGAAAGAGTATTTAGATCATTTTGGAGGTTGTACTCAATATCGCTAACATCCTTGCTGCTATAGTAGATGACAGTGTCGTCCGCATACATTGATATTTCACAAGATTCGGCGCAATTTGGCATGTCATTAACATAAATTAAAAACAACAACGGGCCCAATAATGAGCCTTGGGGTACACCATATTGCATTTTATGGAAACCAGAGGTAACTCCATTAATAGCAGTACAGTGCTGTCTGCTAGATAAGTAAGATGTAAACCAATCAAGTGCTTCACCTTGTATGCCATAGCAAAACAACTTTTGAAGAAGAATGGTATGGTCGAGCGTATCAAACGCTTTGGAGAGGTCAATAAAGACCGCCCCTGTCAGCTGACCAGTGTTCATGGCATTAAACCACTTCTCTGTGAGTAGGTGAGCCGCAGATTGTGTGGAATGGCCTGGCCTAAACCCAGACTGGGCCTCTGTAAGAATTTGCGTGTCAGGTCTTTGAAGTATGCCCGTTATGTGTGGCACAGTTTGTTTTTCAAATAAAATTATGTGATCCCGTTGATCACATCTTTTTAGCCTGTTGACCAGACCTATTTTGGGCTGTCTAGCTCTAGAGTCTAGTCTTCTTCGTTCTCACTGCATTTACTAAAATTTTGCGGAGAGAACGAAAGAGACTAGGTTTGTTCAACAGGCTAGCATCTGTTACCTGGCTCTCCGTGTTGGTTTGAGGACAGCATTATAAATCGAGAAGTTGTGGGTGGATATTAATGATGATTGGAAATATAACAGTCATTTACAAAACCTACCATGGTCCTCCTAGCAACTTTTAATGGTACTGCAGCAGAAATTACCAATATTTTGAACATACTATATCTAGCATATGTTCAGAATTTTTAGTCTGGTATCCAAACCTATTCTTATCAACTACATGAACATGATTTTTGGGTGGTAGATAGCTCATTAAAAAACCTTCAATAAACTCTAACCTATCATGCATCAAGTGAGAGGAAGTCAAAAGTACACGTACTTGTGTATACTAGACATTTATATATCCATCTAATGTTATATACATTGTACATGAGATTGTTAACATGTGACCTGTGCTTAGCCCAGTGGTAACAATAAAGGTCTTCATTCATTCACAAACTTTTTTAAAAGAAAATGTCCCTGGAAGTGCAGCGAGCCTTTTTGTTGGAAACTTTGGAAGTTTACATCAATGTTGTTAAATACAGACAGCATATATTGTTTTACAGTTTCAGTTGACATACAGGCCTGCCCAGCTACAGAATGTATACGTTGATTTGAACTGTTACCTTACAGCTGTTTTCTGTCCCAATTGTACAAGATGTACAAAAACATTTAACTTATGAAAACACTGTACACCTGGATTTTGAAGACAAAGACCCAGTTCTTTATATGCAGTATGTAAATTATATTGTAGCCTGGTATGAATGCAAAATATCCTGCTAAATAGCTAGGGTTTTACTAGTTTTAGCCAGCTTTTCTGAGTTGGATGGACAACCAAGAATGTCACCAGACCAAACATCATCCATCTAAAACCTGGCGAAAGAATGTAGCAGCCGGAGGATGTGTGAAGTCTGGTATGGAGGGGTCGAAGTGGAATGCACAAGATGCAAGACTTTCATTGACAGAGCAGGAGAGACGCGGGACAGCACACTCACAGCTCACTGATGGAAGACATGCTGGGCTAAGTGGGGAAGATTGAGCCAGGTTTCCTGATTTGGCAACATCGATGTCCTCGTTCAAGGTTGAAGTTCAAGGCAAAGAAACATGAGGACCTTTCCATCCGTCATTAACTTAAGGAGAAGTTTAATTTAGTTTTTGGCTCCAAGTTGACTAGTCATGAATTGGACCCGAGGATATCGTTGACTCTTGACTCCATGTGTTTGCCATGAAACCTGTTGACACATTAAGGACAACAGGCACACTTGAAATGGTACTTGATGTAAACCATTTGGCACAGAGAATTGGCATAGGAGCATCTATATACTCACTTCATTATGTACAAGAATAAAATTTGGAGACATTTACGATGTATGAAACAAGTTTCAACTGTGGTCTTTATTATGACCCTTTATATAACTCACAATGGCATTTGCATTTTTATACATAATGCATGGTAATTCTGGCTTTGTGGTAAAAAGCATCAACATTTTGTGCACTCCCTAACCTGCTGCAACATTCATAGAGACAAGTACATGTACTGTTGTACATGTTCATTTTATTGTGCACCAGATTTATAGAAGCTGTGAGACTGTTTCTGCAAGAAAAAGAAATGCACAATTTTACTTCACAGGCAGCCAAAACATGTTTTCACAATCAGATTAAGTCAGTCATTATAGTGAAATGTGGGAAACTGTGCAGACTGTGCTGCATTATTGTTCTCAATGTTCTGTCTCCCAGCTGCCAGGTCCCATGGAACACACAGGCACCAAACATTAGAGTTTCACAATATAAACTTCACCATCGGAGTGCCCTAAACTGGATCACCTGTCACTTATCACCCTGCATATTATATGCTGCATGGTCAGTTCAGAGTGGTGGTCTGTTGTTCATTAGATTATCTGGCACCATGGACAAGTCTTGTCTGGAGACAAATAGCATCAGGTTTAATACGATAGACATTAGTAGAAAAGTGTTTTTGCTGCACTTCAAGATTACCCAGTGTATAAAAGTAGGAAAAGAACAACTGGATGTGGTAAGGAAGAATACATGCACAACATTCATCCTTGCCCTGCTGGAGATATTACAGTGTACAAAATACTTTTTTGAACCAGGAGTGGGCAACCTACGGCAAAAATTAGGTTGCCCCACCTATAAGTTACTACTTTCCTCAAATTAAGTAATGTTACATACATTGGCCTTTGAGTTTGACAATATTTCTAAGCCTTTAGACCAGGTATTTTGCACGCTGTATATAGTGGTGTGACATATGACAGTACAGTTGTATATAGAATAAAAATTGGTAAGCTGACATGATGCATATGGCCAGTATGACGGGCTTGCATGCATGTGGCACCAGCCCTTAAATTGAACAGGTCATTTATTCCCAGAGGAATATGCTTATTACTTAATGTTGTAATATTTTAGGTTTTAGCGTGTACATATCAAATCCTACTTAATTATGGAAGATGACCCCGGCATAATACATTATGTATCACATATTTATCTGTATTTCATTTTATATTTAGTGCAAACAGCCTTTATATATGTGTGCTTATAAATCTAAGCTCTGAAAGGAGGATTTTTTTGTAGTCACTAATGTAACAGGTGAAATTTTATTACATGTTGAATGATCTTATATTGAATGCATTGATAAAAGGGGAAAATAATAGACCAATTGCAACAGATTTCCACATGTTGACAGAGAATTGTGATCATGATTCCTGAAATAAAAGTAATTTAAAGGGCAAGTCTTCTGTAAACCCAAATAATAAATTTTCATACATTTTGGTTGATATTCTAACTTCTATAGCAAATGTCCCTTAGCAAAGTGTTCTCCAATTTGCTTTGAAGCAGCACTGATCCACATGTAGAGGGAGAGTGAAATTTGAGTTTGGATATTATATTACAGTATCTTTGTACATGTATCTAAATTACGTCCTGGATGTTTAAATCCCAACAAGACAAATCAGTTGTGACAAAAGTACATAATATGAATGATATGGTAATCTTATTAAGTGGTTACTACATAATCATCCTATTTTTGTATCACTTGATAATTATATATACCAGTCTCTACTGTTAGTTCTTATTGCTGTATGTCCATAACTGCAGCCAAGACATTGTCCATATAAATTGTAGCTACCCCATCTCTTGATTGGAAAATCCCAATTCTACCCTTGCCTCCTAAGGCTGCCCAATCTATCTTAATTTGTGTGTAAAGATGACAGGTTCAGGTTATTATTCATGGATTATTTCATCCTGTATATCAGCAGGCCATTCTCTACCTCTCAGGGCCGTGTAAGGAGCATCCAGTGTTCCTTTGTGCAAGAATCCCTCCATGAGGCCCCTTCAAATAAAGGATGTGTGTTGAATTCATGACTTGGCTTTGTGAATATGCTTCTCTGTGTTCCTCCCAGCCCCACTAACGTTACATTCACTTTTGTTTGTTCCTATGTTTTTAAATCGCATTGTTGACGTTATGCGAGTGGAGGATGTATTTATAATTGCGTTTGGAAAGTAAGTGATGAAAATGAAGGCATCCTCCCACGTGGATTGTATCATCATAAATTAGGAGCGCCGAGGTTTTGAGAAGGTGTTTCACATGGAAGAGGAATGTTGGTGTTCCCAAATACGGTGCAATTTTCATGTCCCTGACTTGGGTAGTCTTGTATTTGTGCTTCTGCATCTGATTTCAAGCATTAAGAGGCTGTTACATCAGGTAGCCTCTACCATATGTATATGTACCCCTGCATTTTTTTTTAAACCATACTTAAGGGGCCTCCCTGTATTATGTAGTGTACAAGGTTTGTGGGCTGTGCTATGTGTGCATCCATGGCAGGAAGAGGTTTGTATGAACATGTTGGTTGTGTTCTGAATCGCGCTGTGACAATCTTGCCGTTGCTCCACATTCATAGATCAGGAATATTATGCTGATGTGGCAAGCCAGCTAGCCGCGGCTGCTTGCCTGCTTGCACGGGGAGAGTGCGTGAATATGTATCTGGTGAATTTGCCCATTAGGCATGTCACATTGTAATGAAGGGAGGATGTGTGGGCGGTGGGCCTGAGCTGAATGCGTGATGATGCTGCAGCCGTGTGATGTGCTGTGTTTCCTCTCCCTGTGACAGCCATGTTGAGGAGGGGGCACCCTTACCCGGTGTGACATCGCAGCAGATGAGCCGGGTCAGCCGCGTTCGAGCTGAAGCATCGTTTCCTCGGCCGCACACACAACAGGAGGAGCCATCATGTCCTTCCAGTGGGAGACCCTAAGCCCGGCAGAGTTCCATCAGCTACAGGAGTACACCTCATGTAAGTACAGACCTGCTCTTACATCTCCCTGTGTCCAGTTCTAACCTGTCTCCCCACCATACACCCTGAGCAGGTGGATTAGAAAACCCACGGGATATATCCGTGTTCCACGCCGGGGGCAACTCCCACAAACCTGGCTCTCAGGACGGCCCTCGGAAATGGATCAGTTTTCCCTCCTTTGCTTATAATGCTTGCTTGTGTGTGTGTGGATGGATGAAGCTGGGGATGTAATTGAAAGGGTGTTTTGCTATGTGACATTTTTGGTTGCCCGTGAATGTATCCAGTTCAAGCAAAGTGGGCAGGGGGGACATACAGAGTGGTGGGCAGCAGTTGTGATGATCCGTGCCATATTCTACGTGAATATTAATATGTTACTGTGTTCCCGTTTTAGGGGAAATAGGTCTGAGGTAAGGAAAAAATGGCCCTTCTCGGCATATATGTAATTACCTTTAGTAGGACACCTTGCCTACCAATATATGCAGTAGGTCAGCCTACTGTACTTATGTATAATGGATAGGGCCTTAGCTTGGTGCCTAGCACATATTATATACAACATGTTGTTTTTTTCCACAGCTTATTTTGATCTATTCAGTCTTACCCAAATTGCACGATCCTGCTTTTAGATTAATGTTGTTTTGAAATGCAAAAGTCATTGTTAAATATTGAAGCTATCAGAATGATTACAACAATGATCATTATGGTTTCATTAGTAAATGCACACGGTTTTGCATTAGTCTAAAAATAGCTGAAAAAGTGCCTGTCATTGTGTTTGTGAATACTATATATGGTAACGGTGCATGAATGAATCTAACATGGATTTTTAGATTAGTTATGCAACAATAATGGTTTGATCACTGATTTTTGTATTAGTCTAAAAATAGCTAAGATCCTGTTCTGGTGGTTTTGAATACTGCCATATATGACTGAGTCTAATAATATAACGTGTGGATTTTTAGATTAATATTTTGAAATGCAAAAGTCTCTGTTCAATGTTGTCATTACAGTAATTGTAGTTTGGTTACTACTAATGCACACATTTTTGTGTCATTCAGTCTAAAAATACAGTAGCTGAGAGCCTACATCCTTGTGGCTTTGAATGCTACAATGCATGAACAAGTAAAATTTTAGATGATTATCATTTTGAGATATAAAAGTCGTTGCTAAATGTTGAATGTTAAAGCTATCATAGATATTGCAGCAATAATTGTTTGGTTACTGAACATTTTTGTAGTGATCTAAGAATAGCTGAGGTCTTGTCCTTGTGGTAAATGTGAATGACTCTAACATGTATGAATGAGTCAAACATGTGATCAGATGTACAGTACTCTTGGCACTGATCTAGGAGATAGACAGCCCTGGAACAAACCGTCTTCCTGTGGTAGATAAGGGTCACTGCAATCTTCCTTTTCCTTCATTTCTTGTTAATGATGGAAAGACATCAATGACTATTCAGTCATCATCTTCTTCTTCTTCTTCCCTTTTCGTGCTAGCCCCAAACGTTTGAGGGCTCCAGCACGGTGGGGGTAGGGGTATTGAATTGGGGTGGTCGCAAGTTTTGTATGTATATACATGTTGTGGTGTATACATGATTGTATGTCTATAATCATTCTGAATAACAGACAAAACAGGGGACAGCATGAAAAAGAATAAGCTGCAATCATGCCTGGAGGTACAAAAATATTACTCTCCAAGCAGAGGTTTGGGTTTGGGGTTATTTTTGGCATTTTTAAGGCTTTTTTATGTCGGGGTTTCTCTTTTGCACTGGAATTTTATTTGGGTTTGGTGGGAAAAAAAAATTCCAGTGCAAAAGAGAAACCCTGATAAAAAGCCTAAAAACACGCCAAAAATAACCCCAAACCCAAACCTCTGCTTGGAGAGTACAAAAATGTAGGCATGGCCTCTGAGAAATGACATCAAATCAAATCCTGGGCCAATCCTGGGCCTAAATACATTGTACTTTCCAAATTTTCAGTCTATGAACACTTGTTGTAGGGGGTCTGTCTGAAATTCTGAATGGTGTTTGTTTAGGCTTTGGAAACAGGTGTTCCTGAGCACATCCTGCACAAAGCCTGTAACATAATTCATGCATAAAACTTCGGTAGAACGCATCAGTTAAGGTCATGTTTGTGTATTCAAGGGTGACATTCATTTACAAATGTTGTGTAGGAAAAGATATCGTCTGCAACAGAAAAAATTTTAATGCAATGTTGACTAAACATCCAACAGAAGCCGTGCTTTCATGCATATTGCGGATGTGCTGTGTTGCTGTTGGTCTGTAAAACACTGTCAGATAAAATCTCACACACATGATCAACGCATGAGCCTGACTTGCCTTTTCAATGCTCTTCTGTATACCATGGAATGGCAATACAACTGACAAGTGCCTATTCAAAATCTATTTTGTTGCTCAGCACTTGATATTCAGCATACTACAAACACGTACATGAGAGTATATGTCAAAATATTGCAGTTAACAAACAGATATGGTACATCTATTAGAATGAACACAATGTAATGTTATATTTCCCTTCAAAGTTGATTTTCTGATTGTCCTTAATTTGTTAATTGTTTTGTCACAGCAAAAGTGACTTTTGTACTTAAGGTGCTCTACAACATAATTGTTACAAACATGTGGAAACAAAAGAATTAGCTAGGTACAAGTACTTGAATAAATCAATGTTGGGTTTGACATATTCACTTGACATGTGGTAAAGGTTCACATGATCAATTTGTCAGAAAAGAGAAAAAGTTACAGTCACTCACTCACTTACTCACTCACTATCCAGGATTAGATTATACTGCTGCTGTTGTCCCTGCCACAGGGGTCGGCAGCAGTCGGCTAGTAGTACTGGTCTTCACACTGCACCTCCAGGCAGCCCTATGCAGTGGGTTAACACCGGCAAGGCCACACTCACTAATGTCTTTCTTCAAACATTCTATCCAGGTCTTTTTCGGTCTTCAGTTCAATGATGTTACTGATACAGCCACTGGCACGCTTAATGTGCCCATACCATTGTAGTCGGCGGTTAGGTGCAACCTTTTCCATGAAGACTTATGGGACAAAGATTAAGACAACCACAGATATTTGACTTCTGCCTCTTGTCTGGCCCTATTTTTCACAATCAATGCCACAAAACATTTATAGTATAAAAACTTCCTCTTTCAGATTCCAGTAAGAAGCTGAAGGATGTATTAGACGAGTTCCATGGTGCAGATCACAGCTACAACCCAGAGGAGGTAAACAACAAAATCGTTCTCTAACCGTTTTCTCAATAATGTCTCGCTGTGACTGAGTGCAGGATTTGACGGTGGTCCGGCTTTTTGCTTTAAGTCCTGAAGTAATTGTAGTGTGAGGTTAGATCAATGGTCACAATGTTTTGAGTTTTTGTGGATGTGATTTATGAAAGGCCTGAAGTGCATACTTCGTAACATAAGCAAGGTTTTATAACATTTACCTGTACCTGTACTGTAGCATTTCTGGGTGAACCAGCTGCAGTACATTTTGCTTTCAACAGGAGGCATTTTAAATCAACATTTTCATCAAAATAAGAACAAAAATGTCACAAAATTGTTATGCTTTAAGTTATTTTGTAGATGCATGTAAGTCCCTTGTCCCCAACATCTTTGCCTCAAGTTATGTGTACATTTCATTGCATTACAAATTGTATCATATGATGATAAATTGAATATTGCTCTTTGCATAATTTTTTGTTTAGGTGGACAAATTTCCCCATTATAGTTTCCCATGCATACAATTTGGTCATCAGTTTGTGACCCATTGCATTAGCATCTGGTCCCCATATCCAATGTACTGTGTCCTGCTACATACATTGTACATGTACATGCACAGGTTCAACGTTCAATTAAAACTGGTCATTGAAAATTAGTAACATTGTCACATAAATGAACAGCAGTGTATCTCAGCATACTGTAAAAACAATTGTATCTTTAATATTTGAAAAGAATAGTGTATACTAGTACTTAACTGTCTTAATACTTAACTGTCTTAAGAAGCCAGAAGAGGTTGAACCTGCACATACATGTAGTAGTTCACATTATTCTTAGAGTTTATAGACTGAATCAGATGTTAGTAAAAATATCACAATTCATTCTAATACCACTGTTACACACTATAATAGTAATTTCTGTTACCTCTAAATCTGCTTTATCTCCATGACCTGTACTTAGCTTATAAGGTCATACAATTAAGGTCTTTCAGTTTATCATGTACATGTACATGTACATTCCAGACTGTAGACTATGAAGGGTTCCAGAGGTTTATGGGAATGTATCTGGAGGCTGACGTAGGGGAGGACCTGTGTCGCCACCTGTTCCAGTCCTTCCAGAAGAAACCCCGACAACCCCAACAGAACCCGCCTAGTAACTGTAGCAGTCTGGAGCTGGCGCTAAAACGCGATGTTACAGGTAACAAAACTTGTTAGGACAGTCACGGAACTACAATGTATGTAAAATGTAGTGTAAGTGAGATTACTCCTTTCTCAGCACATTAGAAGAACCCACTTAGCAACTGTAGCAGTCTGGAGCTGGCTTTGAAACGCGATGTTACAGGTGGGGATGGAAACTTGTTAGGACAGTCATTGTGTTACAATGATATTGTTCAAAATTAGATTGTAAGTTAAAGTCAGAGTCGGTAGTATTAACATTAGTCTTGTTTCTGTTGACCAGGTAAGGCAGCTATGGCCACTGCAAACATGGTGTGTGCCCCCATCACCAGCCAGGCCGTGGCGCCAGACGAGGGGTGCAGCACGGTCTCCAACCCTGACACCACCAACAGTGAAACTCCCCTGGTGGTCAGCAGCTACTCGTGTGACAGGCTCACCGGCACAGGCAGAGGGGGGGAGGACGCCGCGGGGTTGGAGATGGGTGGACCCACGGAGGGGAACTCAACATGCTCCTTACCAGCTGTCTTTTGTAAGATCATTCTGTAAACACTATTCTATTGCATATTTTAAACCAGTGTTCTAGCCAGCATCTATCTTCCATCTTCCTTTAAAAAAAAGCATCTGACATGTTAAAGAACCCACCACAACTTTCAAAAAAGAGTAGGGGCATGTTAGAATTTTACAGCCCAATTTTACAGTGTAGAAGAATTATCAGCAAGTTGATGGCATTCCACTTGTCTCCCAGCTCGATACAGTCGCACTTGGGCCACTGAAACTTGTCCATACATGTGTACATCCAGCCTTATAGATCAGTTATTGTTCACCAGCTGAGCAAATTATGGCGATGTATGTCTTGGTGTACAATGGTCCAAATTCTACGGCCCAAAAGACAAAGAGTAAGTCAGAGTTTTCTTGTGTGTAAAGTGCCTTTTCCAAGGACACAACAATGTAGAACTGCCAAGGAATCAAACTCAGAACCTTCAGATTCTGAGTCAACAATTATAACCACAACACCACCTTTTGGTACATGTATATGTACCTATTGGTAGACTAATACAGTGGCTTCCCACTGGGAGATGTAGAGTAGGATGACCACATACTACACTTTTGTCAATGGTGCTGGTCTTGCGGGGTCTGTTCTAGTGTCTGCTATGAGGGATTGGTGGTACAGGAGTAACTTTATCAAGTGTGCCACACCGAATAATTAATCCGGAGGCATGATGAAGACAACATGTATGTCATATATCTTGTACTGTCCCCCCTGCAGCCAGCGAGGCACCAGTCCCTCAGCAATGCAGCCTTGTAGATCAGTTATTGTATAGATTATATGTCCTAGTGTACGATGGTCCAAATTCTACAGCCCAAAAGACAAAGAGTAAGAGTTTTCCTGTGTTCTCCTGCAGCCAACGAGGCACCAGTCCCTCAGCAAATGAAATAAAAGTTAATACTAATGAAAAGTAATGGAGCTACAACATTTACTTGAAAGATATGACTGTTTTCAAAATCTATCCAAATTCTTAATTGTCCTGCGGAGCCATACATGTATATACATGTATATGGGTTGCACATACAGTACCATCTTTATAGTGCCCTGTATATGCACAATGTGGGGGGTTTTCTCGTGCAACACATCACACCGCAACAAATGCAGAAGTAACTACTCCACCGAGAGCAAAAAAAAGCCAAGGGTCTATGACCAGATAAAGATGTCAAATTATTGAAAAATATTGTTGCAGGACAAGGGTTAAGTTAGAGTTTTCCTGTGTCTCTCCCCTGCAGCCAGCGAGGCACCAGTCCCTCAGCAATGCAGCAAGTCTCCTCAGAGGTCCTCAGCAGGAGAGGGAAGTCTCAAGGAGAGGACTCTTACTCCTGCTGACTCAGACGACGTCGTCTTCCTTAAAGACATCGTCTGCTACTTGTCTCTTCTGGAAGGAGGTCGAGCAGAGGATAAATTGGAATGTGAGTTCCCATGTTCTTCTGAACTTCTGATAATGACAGAAACGTAAAATAAACTTGACAGAATCTTTATTTACATAGAACAGGTAAGACTTAGGCTGCCTCAAACAAAACAGAATCTGGATTTTTTTTTGTTGCATATAGTACTCTACAGTGTATGTGTCCTTGAAAGATCTGTAACACAGTTGCATATTCTTTGGTCATATTGGCCAAATTGTCATGAACATATTTCTTGCGCCAACTATATATACACTGTATACTATTATAATACAAACTGCCTCTTGTCTGCTTCTCCACAGTTATGTTCAGATTGTATGACACGGATGGAAATGGACTGCTGGACAGTTCGGTAAGTTGGACTGGGCACATCATGGGAGTCACTTTCTTACATGGATAGAAAGATGTGACTATTTACAAGAATGTGCATTTGTGTTAATTCATTGTTGTTAACCTTTAGTTCACAGTAATACAGTCCAGAAATGACCTACATATAAGGCCTAAGATAAGGTACTTAATCAAGTGAGTATGAGTGTACAATAAAGATCATTTTTTTTATATTGCCGCTCACTGATCATGATAGCTGTGGACAGAATCTGATATTTTTTGTTCTTCATAACATTTTGTCTGCTCTGCACTGTAGGAAATCGAATGCATAATCAGCCAAATGATGCATGTAGCAGAATACCTGGGTTGGGACGTCACAGAACTCAGACCAGTGAGTACAACTTCTGTCAATATAATAAAGTTCTAAGTAGACTTCATCCAAGTTATTAGTAACTCAGAAAAACTGTGTGTAAATTATGCCCATGTTGACTCTGCTCTAAAATTTCAGACTGTCGCTTTTGATATAAACTTTGAGCTCTTGAATTAGCAAAGTTCGTTATTCACATTCAACTACTTGGTAAACAAGCTGATGCTTTTATCACTCATGGCAACATCAGCTATTAAGTGAATGGAAACATCAGCTATTGTTTAACAAGTGGTTGTGAATAAAGAACATTGCTATTCAGTCATTCACCAACCTGTTGAAATTATTCATGGATTTTGACACTGTAACAGTACTACATTTGAGCTCTTTGACAAGATGATGCTTTTCTATTTAGATCCTTCAAGAGATGATGGTTGAGATTGACTACGATGCTGATGGAACTGTGTCTTTAGAAGAGTGGATCAAGGGTGGGCTCACCACCATACCTCTGCTGGTCTTACTGGGGTTAGATACAGTAAGTCACAGTCTTTTCATTCTAAGACTATTATTTGTCTGCCAATGTACATGGTACAGATTATGTGGTTGGTTATGGTACCAGTACAAAATATATCTGTATAACAACCCTTTTGTGTAACACACCAGCTTCGCAGGCGTGCAGTGCGGCGGCAGCTAGCTATACCATGTATTGCACCAAACGACCTGTTACACCTAACATTTTCAGATCTAACTCCAAGATTAGTAATGTTTAAAGCCATCTAGTGATGATGCCACTACTGTACTCGGTGGTATCGAGTTCCTCTCCTACAATAATTCTATGAAAAAATGAGTTTTTGAACACTGCAATTATTCTTTGTTGATAACTCTGGTTCTTGAAGGCATGATGACTTCATAACTAGCTATGACAATTTCTTGCATTTTTATGAGTTGGTTTCAGATACTTGTACTGGTTAATACTGTTTCTCCAGATCTGTAAAAATGATCATTCTGACATTGGGATATTTTTTCTTGGTCTTCCCCTCTGTAGAATGTGATTAAAGACGATGGTAACCACATATGGCGGCTGAAGCACTACAACAAGCCGGCTTTCTGCAACCTTTGTCTCAACATGCTGATGGGCCTGGGCAAGCAGGGCCTCTCTTGTACATGTATGTATCTTCTCTTAGTGTCACAGCTATGAATTAGAGAAGGGCACAGTCTGTGTTGTGGACAGAAAAAGTAGTGTGCCTTGTCCAGCAGTTAGTGACCCTACCTCTGGACCAAGAGCTTAGTTTGAGTCCCGGCTATTGTCTCTCACCTGACATGCATGCTACCGTTAATGGTCACATACAGTCCTTAGGATGGGACATTAGGCTGTAGTTCACTTTTCAATGTCAAAAAGAGCTAGCCTTTCCCTTTCTCTTGGATATATTGAAGAATTTTAATAGAATAAATAATAAGAGTAAATACATAGTGTCTGTCTTCTCTGTCACAACCAGTGGAAGAGTTAACATTATAGCTTTTCAATGAGCTAAATCTGGATCGAGATCACTTTCCTTCCCTGTTCCTATGTTAACTCATTGTTTGTTTGTTTGTTTGTTTGCTCAGTCTGCAAGTACACGGTGCATGAGCGCTGTGTGCAGCGGGCCCCCGGCTCCTGTATCAGTACCTACACCAAGTCCAAGAGATCATCCAACGTCAGTGGAACACCAGTAAGTTTCAAAGTTGATTTGTTCATAATATCCTTCTATATAGGTTTACAGTTTGTAATATTCATTTGCAACTACTTGTTCATTTGTTTGAATGTATTGATGTAGAGGACCTTACGAAAGTCACTGTACAGTGTCAATAAAGATTGTCATATCAGTGTCTTCTAGCACCACATGTACAGGCATGCAGAAATTCAACTGGCTTAAAAAGATAGTTGTAATCTGTATATCTAGCCTTACACATTTCAGACATTGTACTAGACAGTCTTGTATTTAGCAGGTGTATGTACAAAAATGTACATGTAGTTGTGCAGGACTGGTATTAGTAATGTCTACCTGCATTGTCTCTTGAACCTGGCTTTTAAATGTGTGACAGTATTGTGGATTTTGCTTGCTGTACTGGTTAATGCCATCCATAAAATGCCAATTAACAGTTTCCAACAGTGTAGCATTTCCGGTGAGTGTCAGCTAGTGTCAAAAAACTGCTGGCTATCCAAATCTCCAGTTTCTGACGTGTATGCTTGCTGTCTATATTACAGCAGACAATGAACCACTTCTGGGTGGAAGGGAACTGTCCCACCAAATGTGATCGCTGCAGGAAGACAATCAAATGTTACAACGGGCTGACAGGGCTCCACTGTGTGTGGTGTCAGATGACTGTGAGTACTGTAACTCACTTTGTCTTCTTGGTAGGAAGATTTTCTGAGGAAAGATTTTAATCTTCATGGTAGCAGGTGGGGGGAAGACAAATGATTTGATATAAATGGTATAAAATGATAAGTTCATAAAAGTATTGTAGCTTTAGAAAAAATTGTGTGTTGTGTCAATGACTGTATTCTCCACCTGTTCTTGTTTTTTGTTTGCTTACACAACAACAAAGTACATTATACCATAAGCAATAGAATTACAGGGAACAGCATATTATACAGTGTCTTGTAGATACTATTTCCTGTAACTATTACACGTTGTAAAAAAGAGTCTTTTTATTCAGTGACTTACCAACATTTTGAAACTATGTATGTTAAGTACTATGTGTTCTGTTGCCGCAGCTACATAACAAGTGTGCCAGCCATGTGAAGCCAGAGTGCACCTTGGGAACACTCAGGGACCACATCCTGCCCCCAACATGCATCGTTCCTGTGGTGTTGGTAAGAAACATTTAAATCATATCATCACTATTCAAACTAACTGTACAATGTGGGGTAGTGCGTTCTGGGTTTGAATCCTGCCATGCCACTGATATTGTGCCGTTGGGAAACTAAGGTACTTAACACAAATTTTTCCTCACTTCACTCAGGTAGAACTGAGTACATGGAGTACATTTAGAAATCACAATACAGGCTATCCAGGCAGCAGTAGCAAATATAGGACACCACTGTTACAATGAACAAATAATAAAACATCAAGTGGAGCCGAGTGGCGTAACAGCAGAACATTCGGCTTGGAACCTAGAGGTCCTGGGTTCAAACCCTGCCATGCCATGTCACTGATCTTGTGCCATTGAGAAAGGCACTTTACACGACTTTCCTACATTTGTAGATAGAGGCCTGGCAAACCATATATCATATTAGCCACAAAAAGACAGCAGAATCTACAGCTAGTTGAAGGCGGCTGCTTCAAAATGAAAGAAGAAGAGGAAGATCATGCAAATTAATTATGTAATGCAATTCCTGTTCCGTAGGAGCGCAGACGCAGCACGAGTTCTAGAGACAATTCTAGGCAGGTTTACTCGTGCCTTTCTCTACCAATGTATGTCAACTTTGACATTGTAAGAAACAATCTGACCCTGAATGTGATTTCTGTTCCGTAGGAGCGCAGACGCAGCACGAGTTCCAGAGACCGTGAGCCGCAGCCCAGACGCAGCACCACCAGCACCGAGGGCGTCGGCTCGGACGGAGACAACTCCGCCTCCAGCGGGAACGTCAGCCGCTCCATGTCCAGGACCAACTCCATGAACATGGACGGACAGGGTCTACAGGTACATGTACTATCTACTTCTTGTTCTTCTTCTTTCTTATTGCTTAGCCCCATTACTTCTTGGTTTACTAGCAGTAGTTTGTGCATGTGTTAGTAACAGTGACCATTTCCATGATTCCATTCCCTGATTCTACCAGGAAAGAACAAGAGCCTGTACAGTAATTGTTTTTGCTCACAAAGGCATGTAGTGTTTGGTTGTGACTTGTGTGGCTGGAGCATCAAGCCACTGGGACAATTCTGGTTGACTGAACTATAGATAAGATAATGAATATTCATTCTTAGCTCAGTGTTCGGTTGAAAATGGCGGTTTTGGTAGATTAAAGAGGATTTATTAATAAGTTTTTTCCCCTTTGCAAAGTGTTTCTGCCCAGCTCAGAACAGTTATTTTGTAGGCAAGTTTCCTGAGGCTGTTACACCAGTGGTACCAGTCTGCATAGTATTACATGTATTCAAGAGCTTTCTTATGGTATCTGGTTGTTCTGTGACTTTAACAATTTAGACTGATCATGTATGTCCAATGCTGTATCCTCACAGATCACACCTCTCCAAGGCACACATCCTCTGCTCGTCTTCATCAACCCCAAAAGTGGAGGCAAACAAGGAGAAAGGTAACTTAAAGTTAGTTTACCTTTCCTTGAAATTAATGGCAAAGTCATTTGACTCAGCACCACCTTAACATTTGTATCCATGCACACAGAATGTATGATGGCACTCCCAGATACACATTCATTGTCATAATAGATATTAAGTACAGTACTGTACACCTTTTACTTGTTTCTGAAAAACATCCGATTTTTTATTCCCCGACAGAATCCTGCGCAAGTTCCAGTACCTTCTCAACCCTCGACAAGTCTTCAACCTCAGTAAAGGTGGGCCCATGCCTGGGTAGGTTTCACCTTTTTTCCCACATAGTAAGGAAATATTACATACTTCTTGTTGAAAAGTTTTAGTTTTCTGAGATGATTTTTTCCTCTGGAAACAGTTGTATGAAGTTAAGACATCCAGGGCATAAGATACGCCAAAAAACAGTTACTCAAGCAACTGGATATGATTTTGGAAACGGTCAGATGTTTCAGGTAGCATCCACTGCCAATCGTCAGTGTCACAGTTGTATGAAACCCTCCCACAATGACTGTTGAAATGAGAACACTCAGTTATTTTTCCCCAGGTTGAAGTTCTTCAGGGATGTGCCAGACTTCCGAGTTCTCTGTTGCGGAGGGGATGGTACTGTTGGCTGGGTCCTGGACAGTATAGGTATGTACGTAGTTCCCACTGCATGATCTGCCACAAGAAAACGGGTCGCTTATTATGCGCGTCTGGAAAGGTATAAAAGTGAGAACTTCATGATCTTGGGTCATTTGGCCTCTGTATACTTGAAGAAAGCAATTCAGGATGAAACCAGTCGTGACAGGCTGATAAAAGTTCTAAATAAGAATTGTGCAGCTCTAGATGTCTTACTGAGGAACGACTGCGTGCTGTGTGCTACATGTCAGTTAGCATGAGGAATGAATCCACTCTACTACATGTATATACCACCACAAAAAAAATGTTACTCAGGCAACTGGATAAATTTTGAAATGAAAACCGTTTCAAGTAGCATCCACTACTTTTTGTCAGTGACTAACAGAATCTGTAGTAAGATTTTATGGATTGTTTTTGGGAGTGTTTAAAACTTTGTGCTGTTGTGTCCCAGATAAGATGCAGTTTGCCCAGCCCCCTCCTGTTGCCATCCTGCCACTGGGGACAGGGAACGACCTGGCCAGGTGTCTCAGATGGGGAGGAGGTATGTACACTGCTGCCGTAACAGCTTTTTTCACGTTTTTTGTGACAAATGTACACTCTTAGCACATTGGTAACACCAAATCCGTCTGTATCCTTATCAGTGTCAGGACACACTACCGGGTACCAACAATTAGCCAAATTTAAAGGCCTGGTACAGTCAGGGAACTTGAATGTGTAGATTGCCTTTCACAACATCGGGCATGTCAAGGAATCAAACCTGAGACCTCTTGGTCGCCATTGCATATTCCTATGCTACTGGACAACACAAAATGACAACAAATGAAAAAAAAGTTTTGTATCATTGGCTTTTGCATTAACAATACATGTTCAGGTTAATATAGCCACACTATAAAAACTGACTTGTAAAGTCTACTTGTTGTAATCTTTTGTAATCCTTGTTGTAATGGTTTTTCCCTCATACACATGTAGGTTATGAAGGAGGCAGTGTGACTAAGTTCCTACATGAGATAGAGCGCAGCAGTGTTGTGCTGATGGACATCACTAACCACTCAGACGCACTCTTCTTATTCTTTTACAGTTCTTAGTGGCAAATCTTGGCACATTGGTGACACTAAGTCCTTGTGTCTGTCCTCATCTTTGTTAGCACACAGTTTCAACAATTAGCCAAAAGGACCAGTGGCCATCACTCTACAGTACTGTGGGGAAAGTCGTGTTAAGTAACTTTGTCAAGGCATGTGTTAGGGAATCGACATTAACAATACAAGACACCAAGGAACGATGCAAATAGAGACACTTTATGTTACTGACATTAGAGTCTAATATTGTTGTTATCTGTGATTTGCTGTCTAGGTTATGAAGGAGGCAGTCTGACTAAGTTCCTACATGAGATAGAGCGCAGCAGTGTGGTACTGATGGACCGTTGGCACCTGGACATCACTAACCACTCGGATGAGAAGGGAGACCCTGTGCCCTGTAACATCATCAACAACTACTTCTCCATCGGCGTGGTGTGTTGGCTAGCTTCTCTTCTATACTTTGTCTTGTATTCTATCTTTAGCAATGCCCTTATTACAATACTGTAAGTATACTGTAGTTTTCAAGACATAAACGTGCAGGGCTCGAAATACCATACCATACTATTTGATACCATACTAAAATAATATAATACTATTTTCTCTTTAGCAATGGCCTTCTTAAAGGCACCAAATGCGATTTTAGGGCAGTAGAACTGGATTTTAAAGTCGATTTTCTGTTCATTCTTTTGTGTATTAAGTACAATCAACCCTATCCTCAAAGCATTCTTTGAGGCAAAAAATGGTTGCTTGTTTCATATCGTAGGCTAGTTCTGTACCTACTTTGGTAAGTTTGACTGTAGTTCATTACAGAATACAAAATGTAGTACTGTACGTAGTTCCTACATGTAAATTGAAGGAATAATAAATTGATGGTACAGTAAAATGTTCTACAAATTCTGTATTCACACATTCAACTGAAAGTATGTTGATGGAGGAATCATTTAAAGTTTTCGAGCTGTCTGTATGTTCTAGGACGCTTCGATAGCGCACCGCTTTCACCTGATGAGAGAGAAGCATCCGGAGAAGTTCAACAGTAGGTACTAGAAACCTCCATTATCTTCCACACACAACTCTAGCACAGCTGCGGTTCCAGACAGAAAAGGCAGGTGTCTCTGTTGTACCACGAATACAAACACGCAGCAGTAGCAAGCAGAGGTGTTGGTTGGTGTAGGTTTAGTGTTCTGTACAAAGCTGACATTTTGTGGCCCTGGCATTCTTGACATAGAGGTGAGGAAGGCAGAATAGTACTTTTTCTTATGTTGGTAGAGTGCATCCAAATACTTTTGAGTTGTACACCAATAGTACTAGAATCTATGTCAATAGGTCAGAGTCGGAGCACAATTAGACTACAGTACTTAGATGTAGTCCTGTTATTGTCAAAGGGTTTGGAAATATATGCTGTACATATAAGACTTAACTAGTACTACAACTGTACTGTAGACATTAGACAACCTCTCACTGCTGTAGCATTGGTGACTGGAGTTAAGTTAAACGTTTTGTACAGTGTTGCACATACTTTTTAGATGATATTTGTGGTGGTGTAAATGTAACTGTTACTTTTGAGTTTTGTGGAATACTGGATGTTTCAAAATATATGGTGTTACCTACTTGTACAATGTAGATGTACATTTAGATAAATAAAGATTTGTGACAGGCCTTCACAGCTATTTGCAAGAGTAGCCTAATGATACTGATAATGTTTGTCCTTTACACAGGATGAAAAACAAGTTGTGGTATTTTGAATTTGGGACAACTGAAACATTATCGGCAACATGCAAGCACTTACATGAAGACCTAGAGATACAGGTAAGAGGCCCCAAAATTAACTTAACCCAGAGAAATGTCTCTTTTTAACAGTCTGTTTCCTAGCACTTTCTGGACTTCAGGATTTGTGCAGTTCCTTTGTTTCCATACTGTCGTAAGTATTTAAATGTTTCCTACTTAAGTTTCCAAATAGTATGTAATTGTATTGAAATGCTTCCCATATAAATGTATATAAAGGTTTCCCATGTAAATTTTTCCCATGTACTGGTATGTAAATGTTCCTAAGTATGTAAATTTATGCAAATATATGCAAATGTTTCCCAGTGTGATGGGATGTCATTGGACGTGGGCAGTGGGCGCTCACTGGAGGGCGTGGCCATCCTCAACATCCCGTCCATCTACGGAGGGTCCAACCTCTGGGGGGACAACTCCTCCGCCAAGAAAAGAAGCAAACATTTTCGCAAACAGCTGAAAAAACGGGACAAGACACAGGACCACCTTTCTGTCAGCAGTGGGTCTGGGGACCTGCAATTTGCAATACAAGGTAGGCAAATACCCTGTGCATGTCAGAATAAATGTGGCTGGACATGTACATTCATAGTACTAAGCATACTGTCCTTGGTGCTGACTGTACTATCCATAACACTAACTATCCATAGCACTAAGCATACTGTCCTTGGTGCTGACTGTACTATCCATAGCACTTAGCAACTGTCCTTGGTGCTGACTGTACTGTCCATAGTACTAAGCAACTGTCCTTGGTGCTGACTGTACTATCCATAGTACTAACTATCCATAGTACTAAGCAACTGTCCTTGGTGCTGACTGTACTATCCATAGCACTAACTATCCATAGTACTAAGCACACTGTCCTTGGTGCTGACTGTACTATCCATAGCACTAAGCACTATCTTTGGTACTGACTGTACTATCCATTACGCTAACAACACTGTCCTTAGGACTTACTGTACTACTAGTATCCATAGGAGTTACCAAACTGTCCTTGGTGCTTATTGTACTATCCATAGCACTAAGCACTATCTTTGGTACTGAATGTACTATTCATAGCACTAAGCACACTCTCCTTGGTACTGAGTCTACTACTGACTGTATACTCCATAGCACTTCCTGCACTGTCCTTGGTACTGACTGTTCTATCTATAGCACTTAGCGCACTTTGACGCGCATAGTGACTATCTTTTTGCTTCTTTCATTGATGGCTAAATGTTGTTCCTGTTTCCAGACATTGGTGATAAGATGTTGGAGGTTGTTGGTCTGGAGGGAGCCATGGAGATGGGGCAGATCAAGGCTGGGCTGAGAAACGCGTGCAGGCGACTGGCACAGTGTTCTTCTCTCACTCTTAGGTAGGTAGTATGTACAGTGTGCATGTCTGTGTGTATGTGTGTGTGTCTGCGTGACTGTGTGTATGTGTGTGGGAGGATGTGTGTGTATGTGGTGTGTGTGTGTGTGTGCATGTGTGTGATTATGTGAGAGCGAGAGAGAGAGAGAGTGTGTGTGTGTCAGTTGTTCAATACCATGTGTGTGTGGGTCAATCTAGATTGTATTGATATCAAATGAATTATTTCTCTGACTCATAACTTTTCCTGACCAGCAGTGTTACAATTATAAATATAATTATTTTTTGTCCGCAGAACACACAAGAGACTTCCCATGCAGATTGATGGAGAGCCCTGGATGCAGCCCCCATGTGTGGTATGTCTGCTCCAGAATTATGCACAATAATCATTTACATGTACACTGTTATTACATTGTATAAGTACATGTACATTATATATTGTCACCTCTACCTCTTGTAATTGGAAATAAGTGGGTTGGTCATGGGTAAATTTTAGACTTCAGGAAGCATACAGTCTGTACATGGAAGGTCTCTGACCAAAGATTCTTGTACAATTTCGTAGGTATGCTGACACCCTCAGGCCAAAGGGTAACACTCTAATACATTGTATCACACTTAAATACATTATATGGTCACTTGTTTGGTTTGATTTGGTCACTTGTATCATATAGTTAACATTGTCCCCACATCCCCACCTGTATCACTCTTATACACTGTCAGATCACCCTTAGTGTATGATAACCAGTCCTGTATCACCTACATGCAGTCACTATTGTCACTACATCTCAACCTGTGTCACTTGGTCATCACCCTCAATACATACCTGTAATCACCAGCACATGTATCACCAAGTCACCACCTTTAATACATGTCTACCTTCAGGGCTCAAAATACTGGGTGCATATGCTCCTTAGGTAAAATTGGAGCTGTGCAGTACCTGGTATTTCTGATGTCTACCTGCACCTAACATGCACTGGTGCATATACTTGGTTTAAGCACAAATGTTGATGTATGGCATTGTACAAGATTTTTATGTACTGCATTGACATATGACTATGAAATACATTGTATCAAAGAAATGATGGTTTCTGAACAGTTTTCAGTATGATCCACAATTACTAACTTCTGAATGGTGCAGGTAAAGTTTGTCTGGTGCAGGTATGCAGAAAAAAAGTATTTCTTTCCCTGAACTGTAAAATCACCAACAACACAGTTACATATTTTATCATTTCCAGGTGACCATCACCCATAAGAACCAAGTGCCAATGCTGATGGCCCCTCCAGCGTCCAGTAAGGCATCCTTCCTCAACCTGTTCAAAAAGCGATGACCCTTGTAAGCCATGTGAATGACGATGTTTGCTCGACTGGCAACTACACACACTGGGGCGATGCACCACCGATGCAATATGTCTGGCACTCCTCCTGTTCTGTGACAGGAGAAATGTGTACTCTGTGTTCTTGTGCTGTCAGTGTAACAGCATGGTGTGTTTAACTGGTTACTACCCTCGAGTGATACAGAATCAGTCCCAGCGTTCTAACCAGCCTGGATTTTTTTTCTCGTCATCTCAATTTTGTTTAGTGTGACATAATTTTGGTTTAGCAATCCTAGGGGGGTCTGGTGGAAATCTTGACCCTCTGGAACACTATTTCCTGCATTTTGAGGAGCAAATTTTGCTGGTAGACTAAGCTTAGTTTAATTATAAAATTAAATATTATCTGTTTCTGTATCTTTACACTCTGATTTTTGCCTGTCAATGATGACAGATTAGGCAAAATTATTGCATCTCTTGAACGGCAAAATTACGTCAAATGATGGAACGACAGACGCTGGCTAGAACACCGATCAGTCCAATTCTTGTACTCACAAACTGTGTTCCAGCTGTCTGTAGATAATATTATACTCAGTCTTTTGGTTGCTGGTGACCAGATATTTGTTTGAGGATTTCTTCTCATGAGCCATGCAATGAAATGTGGTTAATAGCTCTCCTTACATTCCAAAGCCCTTCTAACTGTTGATATTCCATATTACATTGTCATGTATATTATCTGATTGCTTCTCAGTTAACCTACAGGTATATGTATGACTAGTGCTGCATACCTAAACCCACATTCAGGTTCAGGTCCGGATTCAAGTCCAGAGGTTTAGGTTCAATTCCAGACTTGTAAGTCCGGACCTAAACCCATGGCATATACAAAATTGCATGTTGGCAACCTTGCAATGTTGTCTGGGTGAAACTTTGGCCACATAACATGGAGGCCGGTACTTGACGATGCCCGATGGCAATGTTTTCTTCATTTTTCAGCAAACATTTTGCAATCTACGGAAGGTTTTAGGTGTTTTGGAAAGAAAAGGGGTATGTGAAATGGTCTTTTATGGTACTAAGTCCGGACTCGGTTCTTGACTTTTAGGTTTTTTTGGACTTGAACCTAAACATTCTTACAAGTCCGGATCCAAGTCCAGTGAACCGGTATGCAGCACTATGTATGACAGTGGAGGATCCTACGTCACAGTCTCGACCAGACTAAGTTCAAAACAGTAAAATTTAGTCCTATAGGGGGAATAATTAGCCAGGGGAGTTTGGCCACCATAGAGATCGTTAGCTAAAAGGAAATGAAACCCTAAAAGTGGACCCACTTCCCTGGCAAGTAAGATCCTGTTTTTTGCCAAATTCTACTATGATCCTAATCCAAGCACATTGGCAGAACGTACTGCACCTGCGCGAAATACATTATGTACTGTGCATAGCTCTTTGGCAGAAGGTCTCATACAAGGTCATATTCCTGCACATAAGGTCAACATCCCGTCTGTAGTTTCCAAATGTTATGTTGGAAAAGATATCGTCTGCAACAGGCAAAATTCTGATGCAACGTTGGCCAAAAACCCAACAAAAAACGTGAAAAATGGGGGTTTTGCGCAGGTGCAGTACATTCTGCTGACGTGCTCCTAATCCATAAGAAGGCCTTTTGTAGCCTACATCACAGTGCAGTTTTCAATTGATGGAGAGGAGCTAAAACTGCCAAATCAATGCTACCCTGCTGTTACGTCAGTTAAGAGTGTTCCTTTTTATCGTTGAAGAGGTTCATCAGTCACGTAGAATAACAGTTAGTAGAAATTCTTCAATCAGTGACTGTATTTAAAGGTAAAATACACGTACCTCCAAATTTTCGGTGTCGACTGTACACCTTTCTCAAGGAGAAAGCGAGAACACGAGACTAGGTCGAGACTTGTGTGGATCTTCTGACCTCCCCCGCCTCCTTGCGGAGTAGGGGTGTTCTCGCGAGACTAGGTCACTCCTTGAGAAAGTTGTACAGTCGACACCGAAAATTTGGAGGTACGTGTTTCATACCTTTAAATACCGTCACTGATTGAAGAATTTCTACTAACTGTTCCTTGTTATGTCAGTGATTCTCCAGAAGGCCATCCGTTACTTAACTTCCAAGGAAGCAAAAGCCATACTGTTTTTGTGTCCACCACTGGACATTCAAGTACTTCCAAATGTCTGGGAATGGACGATGAACTTTGCACGCGTTTTCTCAGTTATACTGTTGGACAGAAAAGACCTGCAGCTGGCAAAAGAACTTTACAACTGTTGTTACTGAATATATAGTCTAAATCATCAAGTTAAAAGTTATTCTGAATACATTCTTTAGAAACCACATAATAAAAAATAAATAAAATTATACCTTCAAGAACCAAAAAAATACATTGTACATTCAGCAATTCAGAAAGATAGCAGCCTGTTTTGAAATGCACCAGATGTTATACCAAAATGCAGTTGCAATTAAATTTGTGCCAAGCACATCATCATGGGAGCATCATCTTCTGAAATACAGTTAGTGTAGCTTTCAGTAAAAAAATGTAACTGGCTAATGTACAATATTGCCTCTGGGTAGAGCCTTGCTCTAGGTAGAGTGACAAGAGAAAGTTAATGTACTATGCAGAATGACAAGTGAGTACAATTCTACGCAATGCCAGATGTTAACATGTACATTATGAAAATCAAAAGAGTAATGGTCCTGTGAATTCCTGAGGGATTTATGGACATATTTTGGTACTCTCCAAGCAGAGGTTTAGTCTTCAGCTTATTTTTGCCATGTTCTTGGAAGTTTTTATCCAGCTCTCTTTAATTTTTGAACAGGTATCTTTTTTGGGGTTGGCATATGTGGTGCAAGCAAGGGAGAGGCGGTGGTGAAATGATTTTATGGTGGAGAGGCAAAAAATGCAAACATGAAACTGCTGCAAATATTTGCGGATGTACTGTATTCCAGAAGATGAAGCCCCTGATGTGTATATTATCATGTATGTCACTATTTCTGGTGTATTTTGCCCTTTAGCCAAAATCCAGTTATTACATGACTTTGTCTGCTCATTTTGACATTTGTTAGTAAGAAGATCCTTCCCAGTCCCTTTTTCATAAGCCATAATCTCCCAACACACTTTTTGAGGGAAGTTTTTGAGATATTCTGACAGGTCTTCCTTCCTAAAAGACGCTTAAGCTGTGGCTTAGGACACTGTTGCCATAATTTTTAAGGGGAGGAAAGGCCTAGACATTTAGGCAGGCAGAGGCCCTAACTTGTGCAGAAAGTCACCAAGATCCTGTTCCAAACCCTGAACATTCCTCCCAGTTACAAGTCCCAGATCCAAGACAGGAACCCCTTTTGAAGCTTGAACCCTTAAAGTTTATTTCTAGTTGTAGCAAGCTGTCAGGTCCAAGTTGCTCAGGTTATGCTGGATGAAGACTCGTACCTCACTTGTAAGGCAGGCTAGGGGCAGGGCTCGAAATACCTCCTGCATGTGCAGGTTAGTGCAGATAAAGATGGAGCTGTGCAGGTATTTCTGCTGTCTACCTGTACCAAATCTGCACCAGTCAATGTACTGGGTTTGAATGAATTTTTATTTCCTGCATTCACTGTTACCACCTGATATAAACTTAAGACTTATAAAAGATATAGTTGCAATGGTTTCTGAACAGTTTTTAATGTGATCCATACATTTTGCTTTTCAAAGTTTGAGTGGTGCAGGTAAAATTTGTCTGGTGCAGGTAATTTTCAATGTTAGTGTACCAATGCAGGTACATGTTTGCAAAAAAATGTATTTCGAGTCCTGCTATGGGGCCAGGGGCAGGCATAGTGATGATATAGTCTTTTGAGAGGGAAATTACATGTAGATCTTCCCACCATGGAGTTTCTTGTGATAAGACTAAACTTTTCGACAAACATCTTTGAGATCTGTCCTCCCCATATTTGCTTGGAGGATTGATAAACTACATTGCATCTCCTTTTAGTTGGCTTTCTCCTGAGCTTCATAATTTGTCTTCACGATCGGTAAAAGACTCTTACCCAAGATACACGTATTGTTAGTAAAGAATTGTCGGTTCATGTCAGTTGTATGTGTCAACCTCACAGAAGGAAATTTTGTCTACAGTCATAAACAAAAAAAACATTTTTCACTACTTTGGACAAATGCTCGACTATGATAATACGATGGAATATTATATGTATCATATAGCACCTATAGTTGTATCTTAAAGTTTGGAAAGATGTGTATTTGACTGGAAACTTCAATAGTCCTATAATGATGCTATAACTCAGTGTAAGACAAGTACATGTATGTATGTTTGTGTGTATGTAGGTTTGTGTCTCCTTTGTGCTGTCAACAGCAGGGATTTCACGTCCATAACTTCCCTATGCAGCACTTTCTGGCAAAAACAATGTTTCTATGATTTGTATACTTTCAAACATGCCCTGTGTTGTGTATAATAGTTGTTGCCGTTGTGTAAGAAGAACACTCGATTCTCGTATGATTACCAATCATTCTGTTGCCTTGTGATGGTTACTAGGCTAGGTACTATACATACAACATGTAAGACCGGGTATTACAGGTACTGTTATATCCAGAACCGGGCTTTATCCAGAACCATGGTCAGGCAAGGTTCTGGATAGTCTATGAGTGTCCAGAACTGTGCCAAGGGCAAAGACTATCCAGAACCTAACCTCCTGGATAGGCAGGGTTCTGGATACAATTGAGTACTACATGTACTATTGGGAGTACTTTGTCAATCAAAGCACGTGGAAGTTGGAAATTTATCTTCTCATATTCAGAATCTGATTCTGTAATTTTCTGAACTATTAGGAATTATAATATAGAGAGAAGAAGTGACTGTAGGTTTTAAAGCTGGAAACACTGTATTACTCTTTCTGTTCTGTGATACAGAAAAACTGTAATTGTACTTAGTTTCTATATACATTTATCAAAGGTATATTTTCTGATTCCCTATTGGTCAATGTTTTATTATTATTATATTTTAATGTAGTAATACCTTGTAGTGATTTTAAGAGATAGATATTATACAGGAATGTTCTTATATGGATACATCACGGATATTGTAATAGTAGAAAATATTTGCAGAACAGAGATTGTCATTTTACGATAGGCATGACAATATTTAATGTGTTGCCATAATTATTTTATGAATTAATTAATGATTATTATTATTAGAGTGTTGCACCTTTTAGCATGCATGTGCATGAAGTTCAGGACATTTAAGGGACACATAGAAGAATTATGCATTAAGTGTGCATTATCATACAAGTTAAGCAAATGTGAATTAGAATATTAAGAAAAGTAATTATAATTATTATCAATAGTAAATAGATTTTTCTCAGAAATTACCTACTTAATTTCATTCTGTTCCCCAGAATTTACAGGTCAGATTATATGGGCACTACTGTACAACTATTCAAAACAAACATGCATTAGAAAGATTCTCCAAATTGATAAAGAAATGTGGAATATGACTAAAAATGCTAAGAAATGGACAAAGATGTGTTGAAATGAACTACATACACTGTACATTGTATGTTGATAATATTACAGACTAACTATGAATAGTATAGTGGTGTATTTCAAGTTTTATTCTGGTTTATTTCAGTAGAAGTAGGAATTAATGTTAGAGAAGATTTTTTTTATGTTTATGAAGCCACACTCCCATGTTCTACTGCTGTATATACTGACCAGCTCTCCCTATCCCCTTCTTTGTTCACAGTTGGGAACATTCCCTTCTAACAATAGCAGGGCTCGAAATACTGGGTACATATGCACCTTAGTGCAGGTAAAATTGGAGACATGTCTGATGTCTACCTGCACCTAACCTGCACCAGTCCATGTAGTACTGGGTCTATATATATGTATTGATTTATATTTGCTGTATTGACTGTTACCACCTATAAAGTATAGAAGAATTATGGCAATGATTTCTAAACAGGTTTTAGTATATATGTATGATCTATACTTCTCATTTTTTCAGAGTGGTGCAGGTAAAAATTGTCTGGTGCAGGTAATTCTCAATGTTACCTGCACCAGTATGTACATGTAGGTGTGCAGAAAAAAAAAAGTATTTCGAGCCCTGAATAGGCCACAGGTTCTGTGTAGATATTCCAAGTGCAATAACACTCCCTGTGCCAACCTCCATGTATAACCTTGTAGACGTGCACTACTGTGTTTTCTGTGTAGCCTTTTTTCCAGTCTATCGCAGTTATGGTAGGCTCTCTTCGGGGCTGTAGGAGCTCTTTACCACTCCACTCAGCTAGGTTCCCCAGTAGGTTTTGCACGACGGGAGTTCAGTTACCCCTACCGGGTTCCCGGGTAGGTTTTGTGCAGCGAGAGTTCAATTAACCCTACCACAATTATGGTGGGGATAATCAAGTCCTGGCATGCAAAACTCATTACAGGCGTAAAACCCCCACCGGGTGGCCAGTTGAGCTGGACAGGGGAAAACTATTATAGCCTCAAAGACAGCCTGTCCCAGCCACGATAGACTGGATACCAGGCTATCCTATGTGTTTCACAAAGCCATACCTAGGCCTACGATAGAAACTGAATAGTGCAATAAGTCTAAAAAAAAATACATAAATATTTATGATGAAGTCTAACATGATGATATTACATAGCCATGACTAAATTTCAGATATTATGTAACTATCTTCCTATTAATATGCTTCTCACTGAATCAAACATTCCAGTATTTGGACCAGCAGCGTTGAGCCTCGGGTTCCTAAAAATGATATGCTGCATTTTGAAGCAATGAGGGGGCTCAAATTTTATGAGGTTTTTATTTCAAATGCAAGGAGTCTGGATTCGGGACTCCTACTACATTGACCCCTCAGCATTTCCTAGATATGCAACTGAAAATTTACGAACTGTGATATATAAATTGACCGTGGGCTCAATGCTGCAGAACTGTTGTGTACACATGTGTGTTTAAGAGGCCAAACATATGTTTTTACACATCAATATAGTCATAGTCAGTCAATGGATGGTTTGAATGTTGATGTAATATGATGTGACGCTTACAGGATAAGAATAAACATATGCTCACATTTAGACCAGCCTCATTGACTGATTGTTTGTTAGTAGACCACTTCCATTCTTACTACACACCCCAACATCTCACCTGTCATATAAAGTCAGAAATGCAACAATTTCATATTTATTTAGCTTATTAGATAAGCTGCGTACTGCCTACATGCTTAGATGAACTAACAGTGATTATTTTGCTGGGCAATTTTTATTTGTCACACTTGTATACATGCAGGTGTTGTCAAATGTACCTGCATGCATGAGATTAAGATAATAGAAATTCCTCATTTAGCAAATTAAATGCTAATTTCTAACTGTGTAACGTTACATAAATGTACCTGCATGCCCCAAGTCATAGAAATCCTTCCGTACAGATATATATGTGTGTGTGCTTTTGTGTGTATGTCTGAGTCTGTGTGTGATTCGAAGTCGTGTTCAGCACCAAGGACAGGCCCCATTCTGCCAGTTTGAGTCTGAATTTAATTTAGGGGTAAATTTCCCCTAACTGCGCTGGCAAATGAACTCCACATGTGGCCAAACTCAACTGTCCAGTTATATTACCCTACTTGGCTAAATTTGACTATTTTTGGCGACGTCTCAGGGAGAAGCCTAATGGTACAGTATTGTGTGCAGTTTACAAGATTTCTAGGAATGGTACACGTCAGGCATTTTGTCCACAGGCATGGAATGTCCACAGGAATGTCTCCCAGCTCTGTTTGCTGACACACACTGCAAACAGATCTATGCCCACATTCCTGGAAACCTTTGGGAAGACCTGTCTGCCCCGGATGCCCTACTTTCTGTGACCCCGGGGCTCGTTCACTATAAACTCAGGGGAGGGGTGCACTGTATCTGTCTAGACTTAATTTACTAGTAACCTTTTGTTGTTTGTCCAGTGGAGACTATCTGTATCTGTATAGCCGGTGTAACCGCCTTTCGGCATAACACACCAGCTTCGCAGGCACGCGGCGTGGCGGCAGCTGGCTACATTACACTGAATGACTTGATACACCTAACCCTTGAACTTCTAACTCTAGACTAATACATCATAAGGCTTCATCATCGATATCATCATCATCCTTGTCTTTTGTCAGTGAGATGTTCTCTTCTGAGATCGGGTCTTGCCTGTACAGACGACTCCGTCTTGATCTCCGGACATAGGTCCAGATCACAACAAAGGTGATCAATACAAGCAGCAGTACCACTCCTCCCACTATGAGTGACGTCCCTACAAACAAGAGATCTTCGTCACAAATTACAAAATACAATAAATACATACGCCAAAAAGCAGTTACTCAAGCAACTGCATATGACTTTAAAAAAAAATCTTATCCAGTTGCTTGAGTAACTGCTTTTTGGCTTATCGTATTGCCTGAAAAACTAACCTTCATCGACGTACAATAAATACAAAATTAATATATTGTATGGCGACGACTTATGGCTTGAAAGTGATGTAGTCAATGGAATTTATGTGTATACGTACATTTACACTATGCACAAAAGTACGTTCTCAGCTACCAGAATTGTCGACCAAAAAGGAGACATTCCACCAACTTAGTTGCAACTAGCCAATAAACATTTTGTGTAAGGGATTGTTATACAAACCTGCAGAATGCACCATTAAAATCTTGTTATTAGTCTGGTAAGTAAGAAAAGAATATATTCAACCTTCATTGAACCACGACGGGGGGCAACATCGTCTACCAGATACCTTTGACCCAGTGTTGACGTCACACTTCAAAAAAGCCACGTGACAAGCTTCACTGGGTCAGTCTACTGAGGAAGACCAGAGTGACTGGTCAAAAGCTCCAGGTGAGAGAATTTTTTGTGTTGAACCAAAGGTTTTAACTTTAAACATTTCAAACAATGTTTTCTGCTCATTGCTTACATGTTTTCAGCCTCTCGACGATGCTAAGTTGACATTCCCTTTCCCTGTCTATAACAATGGAGTCTTTTGTTGCTTTAATAAACTGCTGATATGGGCAGGGGTTGGGACAGCCTGGGACCACCAGCAGGTAAGGGTCTCGGGTGCTGTCATTTCTGTACCACACCTCTATGAAAAAATTCCTGAAAGAGAAATTATTCAGAAAATCGTTTATTAGTTCTTCACATTGAGATAGTTAATTCGCTTTTTTGGACATTGAGGAACAAGTAGATTGCATCGAAAATATCTGTTCACTTCATCACATTTGTATTGGCTACATGGCACCGGAATCTATGAAATATAAAGGAAAATCTTTATCGTTATGACGAAAAGGCTAAACTTTATGTTCATGATAAGAAAATCTTAATTGTCGCTGATTGGGTGAAAGCAAAAAAAAAAATAAAAAGCTATCCTAAATTTCTCAGACAAAATGAGTGGTATAACCTCCCAAGATTTTTCTCTCGGAAACATGATATTACACCACTTGAAATGGTACTATACACGACATTACGTTCCAAGTTTTGCGCAGGCGTAGAATGTTCTGCTGAATGGAGAAGATGATGAGTTACCGAGAATCCTGCTGGTGCAGCTCCACCATGACACATGCACAGTAAGGAGGATGTATGTGGTTAGAGACGCCCAGTGCCGACAGTAGACCAATCACGGTCGAGTCGTGCTGGAAAAATTTAAGCAGGAGGATTATAGTACCTAACAAATGTGAAATTGACAGTTGCCTTTCCAATTTGATAACAGTTGCTTGTTCTTTCAAATCTGTACATTTGTATGAAATTGACCAAGGAGCTCTAATTTTTAACCCCCTTGAGATGACTCAATATTTGAGAAATAAGTTGAACTGTACGATAATATATTCCCTAACTCTCACTGGCTCTTTCCATCTCACTCTTAATGGATGTTGATGCTATCAGATATCCACTGATCAGATGTAATATTGGCCATAAGCATGATATGGTACGTAAAAATACACAGAAGTCAGCAGTAAATGTTGATGCTCAGTTACACTAGAAGTAGCATTGTTTTCGTTGTTGTGGCAAGCAATGGAGAAGCAACTTCTAACAGGAGAGGAAGAACTTACAGCAGAATACATGACCAGCCGTGTCCTCCTGTCAGGTAGGGTACCTTCTACAGCCTGGGTCATGTTCTCTACCATTGCTCCCAGCAGGGGGCCTGGGGAACAACATGGCTACCGTCATCATATAAAAAAGTAAAAATCTATCTACCAAAGGAAAACATATTGTTTTTGCTCTGTTTATTCTTCTTCTTCTCCAAACCAATAATGTCGTCTGTCACCATGGTAACTAGTGTTGGGTTACATCATGTTGCAATTTTATAGCAGGAGGGATTTAGACTCCTGTCACCATATATAGTTTATTAGGCTAGAAATGTGGAGATAAACAATGTGCATGCTTTGGAAGCATTTCCTTTCTAGTTCAATATCAAGGCTGAGTTCAACATAAAGATAATTAGCTGCATGGAAACACATGAACTACAATTTGAGAGTCTAGAAGGTAAATATATTGCTGATGCTTGTGCGTACCGCTGCGAAGTCTGTACCTTTCCCTGTCCGAAGAATGGGCCCGTGGAGTGAAGGATTCCAGCTTCATCAGCTTGTCATACACCTCTGGTGTCGCCCACGCAGGGAAGGTTCTGTTGTGCATTTTCTATTATAAAAGCCGGACGAACAGAATTAATGACAAAGAAGGTCTTGTAAAATGCTGAACGTTCGATGTTACCTGTCTGTACAAATGACTATTTGTTAATGCACCTATAGCTAGCACGCACCATTGAAATCATTGTACCTAGCAGTATTGATCATTAGCAGTCATGATCACTCACAACTTTGCCCGCCATTTTGGATGGCATGGTTAAACCTTGAAGTTATCAAGTAAACTTGAATCACGTAATTATGGCATGCACATCAAATTTTATTGGGCTGATCTTTTAAGCTTCTTGACTAGTGGCTAGACTATGAAGTGTAAAGAGTAAGTCAGAGTACGAAAACACTTAGATGTTACATGTACTTTTCTACCTCACAAAACAAAGAATCCCACAGTTTCCCGATGCCCCCGAGCCCTTTGTCCCCGGGCATTCCTGTCCGTAGAGTCAAGTAGCTGAAGAATTCCTACAGTCAGAAGAAAGAAAAGCAAAACGTGAGGTAGGAAGTAGACAATTCTATCAAAAACTATCATATAATGGTACTAGTATGACATCCATGTAAACTATGTAAATTGATATATTATCATTGATGGATTATACTTAGCCCCACTCGATTGTAACACTACATCAAAGACAGACTTGTGCTAGCCCTTGTTGTTTGAGTAATTAGGATTTATTAGGTCTTACTTTGTACTGTTTTTGTACTTTGCTGTTTATTTGTTTTGCCATACATTGTACCATGTGCAATTGTCGTGCAATAAAGTTCTCTATTATTCAAAACTTTATACAATGAATAAAACAATGAATGAATGAAATGAAATGATATGTAACTACACAATAGAATGCCATCATTATATAAGAACCGTGTCACCCTTACCTGGTTGTCCTTTTCCCTCTGCTGGTACTCTGGGTCCGTCCTTTGGACCTCCTGGTTTAGATACTCATATCGGGGACATGGTGGCATTCCCAGCACCTAAAACATGATATTAATTATCAATTAATTAATTCATTGGCTAGGCTGCATGTGATAGACACATAGACAAAGGCTGAAATACTGGAGGAAGGCAACTTTGAATTTGAAATAACATTATTTACAGAAGTGATGTAACAACTAGTACAGATTACAAAGAAAATTCGGCACACAGAAGAAAAATCTTCTTTTTATCTTCTTTTTTTCACAGCAATTTAGTGTGAATAAGAATATTAAGCTCACCACATCCTCCTCGGCAGGTCTAGTGTGGACAGGAATCGGCTGCCAGAGGATGTCTGGGTTCCAGACTTGCTCTCCGGCGGGAGGAAACAAACCTTTTTTAAAGATAAAACTGTATTTCACAACTTCAACTGGTACAATTTGTATGACGGAATAAAAATACAATATAGTCCTCAAACTATCGTATCTTCTATTTACCCTATAAACCCTAAAACTCTACTGAATGATATCTCGATATTATTCAGCTTACATAATATGATTATAATTGTTGCTGATACAGTCTAATCAAGTGGTGTTGCCTCTACTAGGCATAGCACATATATACACAGCTTGTTCTTTGATACAAAACAACTTCTTTGTAAAGGATGAAACAAACCTGCCAGATTAGCCTGGGCGCTCATCAGAGTCCGGTCTGTATCCGTGCTCCGGACCTGAACCTGTAAGTGTGACAGACAAGTGTGAAGCTGGATCTGCGAGTGTACACTGATATAACTGTATAGTATTACATGTATCATAACTTAGCTATTGTGTAACTCTCCTTGGAAAACTCCAGGACACACAATCAGTTTTACAGCTCTGTCGGACAACGCTAAAGTTGCTTCATGGCAGTCCCTTATATTCAACCGTTGCCAATTCTAACATTCTGTCGTTTTCTCAACAATTCATTACCGCGCAACAAAACGCTTCTAAAACTGAATTTTTCCTTGTGTTTTGCATTGTGTCCTACCTTTCCACTGCGTTAGATACCCAAGCGCGATTAGTCAAATGCAAACCTGCGTGTGAAAGTTTGCTACGAAATGATGTCTACCCTAGAATTCCATCTCCCGCAGCTACGAATGACTCATTGGATATGCAACTTTAAAATCAGAATTTTTACCTGATATCTGTTGTATGAAGAGTTGAGAAAGTCCGGTCCGACATATCTGCTTCTGAAAAATTGTCCCAACTCATATTGCTGCTGCATACCTACCTGTGTGATGGCAGAAATGATTTTCTGTAGTTCGTGATCTTTATTCACCCCGACCAATCTAATCTGGACATTGCTCCGACATTGGTACATTCCTCACAAAAGCGGACATTCCTCCAGGTTTGAGCGTACACTCCTCGAGGTGAGCGGACATTCCTCCAGGTATGAGCGTACATACAGAAGTGTACCGATTTTGGAAGAAAGTACGCTCAAAACCGGAGGAACGTCCGCTCATCTGGAGGACTGTACGCTCAAACCGCCGACTGAAGTGCGCCGATTTCGGAGGAATGTACGCTCAAAACCGGAGGAACGTCCGCTCACCTGGAGGACTGTACGCTCAAACCGCCGCCGTGAGAAGTGGACCGATTTTGGAGGAATGTACGCTCAAAACAGGAGGAACGCCCGCTCACCTGGAGGAGTGTACGCTCAAACCTCCGCCGTGAGAAGTGTGCCGATTTGGGGGGACTGTACGCTCAAAACCGGAGGAACGTCCGCTCACCTGGAGGAGTGTACGCTCAAATCGCCGCCGTGAGAAGTGTGCCGATTTCGGAGGAATGTACGCTCAAAACCGGAGGAACGTCCGCTCACATGGAGGACTGTACGCTCAAACCGCCGACTGAAGTGTGCCGATTTCGGAGGAATGTACGCTCAAAACCGGAGGAACGTCCGCTCACCTGGAGGACTGTACGCTCAAACCGCCGACTAAAGTGTGCCGATTTCGGAGGAATGTACGCTCAAAACCGGAGGAACGTCCGCTCACCTGGAGGACTGTACGCTCAAACCGCCGACTGAAGTGTGCCGATTTCCATTTCGGAGGAATGTACGCTCAAAACCGGAGGAACGTCCGCTCACCTGGAGGACTGTACGCTCAAACCGCCGACTGAAGTGTGCCGATTTCGGAGGAATGTACGCTCAAAACCGGAGGAACGTCCGCTCACCTGGAGGAGTGTACGCTCAAACCGCCGACTGAAGTGTGCCGATTTCGGAGGAATGTACGCTCAAAACTGGAGGAACGTCCGCTCACCTGGAGGAGTGTACGCTCAAACTGCCGCCTGAGAAGTGCGCCGATTTCGGAGGAATGTACGCTCAAAACCGGAGGAACGTCCGCTCACCTGGAGGAGTGTACGCTCAAACCGCCGCCGTGAGAAGTGTGCCGATTTCGGAGGAATGTACGCTCAAAACCGGAGGAACGTCCGCTCACCTGGAGGACTGTACGCTCAAACCGCCGCCGTGAGAAGTGTGCCGATTTCGGGGCCGGTCAGATTGCCGCTAGCTGGCCGAGTACGAACCGGCCTAGACCCCGGGCCTGGCCCTGGTACTGACTCGCACTTCCAGGGTTGCCTTCTCTATTTTTTCTAGCGAATTAAGCCACAGACATCGCCCAGTAACTTGTGGACTAATAAAACACTGAGGTGTCCCCCTCCCTAGGCTTCAAGGCCGCGCCAACAGTCCAACGGTCTCAGACACGCCGCGCCGTATAACACGTTGGCCGGTCAGATTGCTGCTAGCAGGCCGAGTACGAACCGGCCTAGCCCCCGGGCCTGGCCCTGGTACTGACTCGCACTTCCAGGGTTGCCTCCCTCTGTTCTGGCGGACTTTAGCCACAAACAGCGTCCCGTAAGTTGTGGACTTATAAAACACTGATGTGTGCCCCTCTCCTTGGCTTCTATGCCGAATTTTCGTGTTTTGACGTTCAAGTGGGTTCAACTAGCAATGGTTCAACCGACTCAGAGCGGCCGCTTCAACACACACCGGGCAAGCCGATCGTTAGCTTGCCGGAATTTCTTTGGTGATGAGAGTGGTGCACGCCCGCCAAGGCCTCTTGGGCAACCCGGTAAACGTAAAATATATAATCATGGTTAATGCTCGATGATCTATTGAAAATTAACATTTCAAAAATATTATTTTATGGCAAAATAATATTTAGAATAAATATTAAGCTGTTTTATCACGAAATTGCGATAGTTTGCAGGGACTACTTTGTTCCAGCGGTGTTGGACAAGTATGTTGTTCGGCGCACGTGCGGGAAAGAACTATACGGTAATTACCCGACGATCAAACAAATTGACTAATCAGTGCACTGAATGTATTGGCTGCTGATTGACCGACCAATAGGCATGTCCAATAGATTTTAACTAAGGGTTGTTTTGTAATGTCTCTTCTGATTGGCTCAAGTTCTTTGGCACGCTTTGCCATTTGAAGCACTAATATCATTAGCTGCTAGGGGTCGCTCTTAAATAAACAATGTAAATTCGTATTGGCAATTTTACCACTGACAAGTACCGTTGTAATCCGTCAGGCGGCATTTTTGACACGTGGCGAAAAATATGCGATACAGTCTGATAATCGATTGCACGGATGGCAGCCATTGAATTGTTTTCTGGACCGTACCGTGATGTTTGTTGGAGCAAAGTGGTGAAAGTATACAATACAGGTAACTTTTA